TCCCTGGCTCCTCAACTTAGTCTCAAGCTCTTAAAGTCGCTAAGCAACATTGGTCCATAGTAGCGTCATCAGATTGAATCTGTTCTTGTATATCAGAGTACGGCCCTTCACCAAGCCGCTAATTCTTTTACTATACTCATTCCCCTCGCTCTAGTTCACTGTTCAATATTTGCAGCTTCTTCCCTCCACCGTGTGAACCATTGCAACTGTGGACCGGCCTCTAGGACAGCTGTTACCAGCTCCTTGCGGTCTTGGGGAATAATTCCACATTGAATAGCCGGGTTATTTAGAGTGAGGTGAGTGCATCCCGTATGGAATCATGACCTCTTTAAAAGGCCTTAGGTCTATCCTTTCTACGGGATGCCATCCCATCTCACCGTAATCTTGCTCTACACTATTAGCGGGAATATGCTGTTTGACTACTGGGAAAGCCGAAGGTGATCTCATAACCCCAGGCCAACTCTCCTCCCACTGTGGCAGCATAGTTAGTTAAAGATTAACTTTTTCTCTCAAAATAGGTTGTTTCAGCACACTGTCCTCCTTTTTCAGCTTTTCTCTGACCTGACCGCCCTCTGGCACAGTTTCTCACCCTCTTGCCCCTTCAGGAAACCCTGCTCTCTTGCTCACTCACTGGGACTGAGCCTTTTTGTTCTCTCTCTTTTTCTCAGTGATCCTCACCTCCCAAGTGTTTCCCTCTCCATCCATAACCTCTCCATCTGCACAGCCAACTCTGCCACTCTTTCAGAAAAGAGAGGGTAGAGTGACCGACCCACTTTGTTTCCTCATTTCAGCCATTTTTTGTTTCTCATGACCCTCTATTTCTACCTGCAAATTTTCCAACCGTTCAGCCATTCTTCCAAGCTTATTTGAAACAGAATCTACAAAGAAAAGAAGAAGAGAAATTTTCTCTGGGATCAAAGTGGGAGACATCACACTGGTAGCAACCACAGTAAATCTTTGCTGCCTTCTTGAAAGAAAATTCTTTCATCCCCTGCCATTTCCTTTATGGCATTTGAAATAAATTTTTAAAATTTTTATTCTTAACTTTCTTTTTTTTTTCTTTTTGCTTAGGACAGTAACTTTATTCAACAAAAACATAACCTCAAACTTCTCAGCTTCCTGAATCTGTTGGAAGCCTTAAATAAAGAAGCTTCATCACCAAATTTGAAGCATTAAAAAAAAAAAAAAAAAAAAGGAACGCTGCTACAAAATATGACAAGATTGTCTAAAGCCATGCTCCCTTTGAAAACCAGGTTTTTATAGCTATAAAACTAGCAACTTGTTGAAAATCTTTATTTTTCTAAGACACACACAGAAGCAATCACAGTATACACAGTCCACGGACGCTACACTAAACCAGGCACCGCTTGTAGCCGGGCTTTGCTGCTTTGTGGTTTCTTCTTTTTCCCGTCCTTTATCCTCTCTGGTTTCAGTCCCTGTCACTAGATTGGCGAGAAAAAAAATAGAGGAGGGAGGAGACCCTTGAATCTAATTTCTTTCTTCTCGTTTCTTCTTTGAGCACAACTGCTAACCAACTGCAAACAAACCCCCATCCTGAAAGATCATCAACCACCAACCCCACCTATCAGGGCTCTGGAATTTATATACCCTCTGAAAAATTCCCAGAATTCCAAACATCACAGGATTGCAGAAGATGAAAACCTATTAAGTGCTTTTTTTTTTTTTTTTTTTTTTTCAAGACAGGGTTTCTTGTGTAGCCTTCGCTGTCCTGAACTCACTTTGTAGACCAGGATGGCCTCGAACTCATAGTAAGCCGCCTGCCTCCACCTCCCAGAGTGTAATCCCAGAGTGCCCAGCACTGATGGGAAATGAGTAAGGAGCCGGGCATGTGGTGCAGGAGGCTGGCATGGTGTCTTTAATCTCAGCACTTGAGAAGCAGAGGCAGATGGATGAGGCTCTTTGTGTTTGCATCCACTAGGTTACACAGGGAGTCACAGGCCAGCAAGGGCTACACAGAGAGACCCTGCCAGAAGAACAAGAGAAAGAATAAATAGGAGTAAGGATGAATGAGGAAACGAAAGGCATATTCTTGAAAACTTTTAAAGATGACAAATTAAAAAGGCATGGACAAATGGGTGAAACATTACATTCATGAATTAGAAAATGTGATGCTCTTAAAATGTTTATCCTGATGAAGGTAATGTGCAGATTCACTGAAATATCTCAGTGAATATCCCATCAAATATCTCAGTGGAGTTTTTACAGAGTGGAAAATGTTTTTGAATTACTGTGGAATAACAAAGAGCCCTGACTAGCTGAGAAAAATCTTGATAAATAAAGATGAAGGAATTGCTCTTCCTGATTTCAAAACTGTTACAAAGCCGTAGAAACCAAACAAACATAGAACTGTGTGACGCCACAGACACACAGGCAGGCAAGCGAGCAGAGCAAAGAGCCTAGCAAAAAACCCACACGCGAGCCTGCAGCTCATCTCTGCCATGAGCATAAAGAATTCTCCAGACAAGTGGTGCAGGAGCGCCCGGGCATCCACTGGAATGGCAGGCGCTAATGGTGTCTTTCACTGGCCCAGAAGCCCACCCAAATGATTAAATAAAGACTTGTTCTATATGAGATCTGAAACTCTAAGATGTCCAGAAGACAGCAGGGTTGTTTTAATAAGATTTCTAGGGTACAACACCAGAAGTTCAGGTACAGAAAGGTAAGTGGAACAAGATCAGACTCAGAATCTTCTGCAATCAAAGAAAATGAAGGAACGGTACTCAGCATGGGAGAAATATCGGAGAGTCATATATCAGAGGAGGACTTGACACTTTGCTATATAAGGAACTCTAAGGACCGCACTAAAACGCACACACATACACAAATTCTGCTTTAAAACAGGAAGAGGGTCTGGAGAGATGGCCCAGATGTCAAGAGCAGTTACTGCTCTCACAGAGGAGCCAGGTTCAGTTTTCAGCATCCATCCGGTTGGTGGCTCGCAACCATCTGTACCTCCAGTGCCAGGGGGTCCGACGCCCTCTTCTGACCTCTGCAGGCACAAGACATGTATAGAGTGCACATACACACCTGAGGCAAAGGTGACACAGGTTTACTGCTGCGTTTCATAACAAGCAAGATGCAGAAGCAACCCAGATGTCTGTCACGGTGAGGGTAACGAGGAGTGTGACGGCTACGGAATGGAGCCGGCTTAGCAGTCCGTTCAGAGGCGAACTGATAAAATGTGCTATCATGAGGCAATATTATTCATCCTTAAGGGAGTTCTACCACATAGGATGGCATGGAAGAACCCGTGGATGTTACGCTAAGGAAGCCATTAGTCACAGAGGATGATGACTTCCATATCCCGCTTATGTGAGGAATCTGAACTAGTTCAAGGCTACAGAGGCTGGGATGAGAATCGCAGCGGCTGCAGGCTGAGGGGAAGAGGAAATGAAGAGTTACTTTCCAACAGGTGTAAAGCTCAGTCGTGTGTGACAAGTGGGTTCCTGTCACCTGCTGCATGACATAGTACCTGTAGTTAACAATCCTGAACACACTGTTCCTGAGTACCGCACACCCTGAGGTTAACAACACCATACATGATGTAGTTAACAGTGCCATACTCACAAACATTAAGAGCATAGATCTTGGGCTAGAGACAGTTGGGATGGCAGCAGGTCAGCTTAGCACACACAAGGCCCTGGGTTCAAGTCCGTTCCCTAGTACTGAATACATTAGACCTGGTAGTGTCTACACGCAGTCCCAACTCTAGAGAGGCAGAGGCAGGAGGACAGCACGTTCTCAGCCACATAGGGAACTGGAGACCAGCCTGGGCTCTACGAGGTCCTATCTCAAAGGAGCACAGATTTCAACATAAAGCATTCGAAGTTCTTGCTTTAGTGCTGTCACGACCGACCATACGCTACTGTGGGTAGCGATGCAGGGCAGCTTTGGGGAATGCCTCCGCCTCCAGTGGGATGCTGGAAGCCTGCATGGCAGCCTTGCTCCGGATGTTACAAGCTGGTTGACACAGGGACGCAGCTCTGACAGCAGGTTAACCTGGGAGAAGCCAGCAAGGGGCCTGACACCGCTGCTGTCCTCCCCCTGCTTTGAACCTCTTCCCCAGGCCCATCATCCTGGAGGGTTAAGGTTTGCACTCAAACTGTTTGTGGTAGCCGCTGAGTCATCAACAACATTAGTCTCCCTGGAGAGAGGGTGTCAAATGAGAAGCGATAAGGGTGCAAGGGAGATAAGAGGTGAAGAATGACGTCAAAGAGCTCACAGTGGGAATATCCAGGGAGTGTCCAGCTGTGTCGGGGGAGGGACTTCCTGTACTAATGCTAGCTGCATGTACTATGATTGACGGTTTAACGGAGAAAGGTTAGTCATGAAACAAAGCCTCACTTCCCTCCACGCCCACTCCCCTGTGAAAAGCTGCCCATGGTGTGTAAGGGCTGTGTTACACACGCTAAGCTTGTGGGGAGCTGGTCTTGCACACCGGAAACAGCCCGAGTGAGCTGCTGGGTTGCTTTACTTACAGCCTGTGTTTCTAAGCACTTTCACTTTTCCCTGTGATCTCTAAAGAAGTTTGAGTTCATCACAGTTTCTCAGAGCGACTCGGGATTGAAACATCACTGAGAGCATGGGGTTCCGGTGCTGGGCTGTCTCTGTTTCTCTCTTTCTCTCTGTCGACTTTATTATTATTATTATTATTATTATTATTATTATTATTATTATTATCATCTTAAATTTGGCTTCCGCCAGAAGCAACCAGACCTTGTTAAGCAGCTGCAAGATGCGCTGGTCAGGAAGAGGCTCCACAAAGACAGCCCAGGGCTGGGGGACACACAGCCAAAGGAGAGAGGCCTTGGCAACACAATACTCGGGGGGGTATCAGCTCAGATGTCCTTAAAGGGTGAAGTAAAAAATGGAGGAGGAACAAAAAAAAAAAAAAAAGAGGAACTCTTCAGTTGTCCCTGGAGGCTGGCTGTGAGCCTTGAGTAGAGGAAGTGTGGGGTACAGGGGTGTAGAGGAGGAGGTGTTAGCAGCTTGCTGGTGAAGGAGGGCAGTACAGAGGGACTAACTCGTCTTTCTGGGGTGGAAGGCGCTTGGCCTGCTGCACCCATGCACAATTGCACAAGTGGAGCCCCGGCTTATCACTTCCCTGAGAAGAAAAGCACATTTCCAGTTTCCTGTGCCTAAGAGCGAGCGCCCAGCGCCCTTCACGCTGCTCAGACCCAGACTGCCTGTACACAGGAGACTCCTGGGGCCTGCAGAAGAGCTGAGACTTTGTTGCACGACAGAGAGGAAGTGATTCCAGAAGACCAGCACCTGCAAACTGGAGGCATCGAGCCCCTGAGCACACTCCGGACACCTCCAGGGGCCTTCGGTGTAAGTCGCGCGGTCCATGCCGGTCCACACCGCTCAGCCTGGGACGGAAGCACCTCTGCCATTTCCCCAGATCCCGGCCGTGGTGTCAGCCAGGGGGAGGTTTAGGAAGCACCGCTGTGGGACTCTGCCTTCAGCCAGGAACAGGATGGGACCACAGCCTGCCTAGTTTGTCTATGGCTGCCCTTCCTTTTGAAATGAAACAGAGCTGGGGTTTAGCTCGGAGGCAGAGTTTAGCCGTGTGTGCCAGAGTGCATGTGTGTCAGTATTGAACACATATACAGATGCTCTCAAAATTTTCATATGTGTTTAACGTGTGTGTGTGTGTGCATGTATGCACACTTTTGTTTTGTTTTTGAGACAGGTCTCCTTGTGTTGATGACCTAAAACTCACGGGGGCCCACCTGCCTCTGCCTCCCAAGTACTGGGATTAATGCTCAGATCCACTTTACCTTTTGAAGCGGGGGTATTTAAGATGCTTGTGTGTCAGCCAAAGACTTTCGAGCACTTAACTAAGAATAATGTGAGAAGACACTTGTCAAATCACAAATGTCAGGCTATTTATAAACTTGCTTTATTCTAGAAGCATGAAATGGAAAATATAAAGCTGACTGGCCTGGCCAGTTATCAGACAGCTGCTTTTGTTCAGCAAACTTCTTATTTTAACGGTACGGATCTTCTCTCTATAAAGTCCTCATTTGGAGTAAAGCAGACGTGATGGTGAGAGCACTCGGGCTGGATTTGTTGTGAATTCCTGGGCCTTCCCACTGTCGGTCTGAGGAAGCAGCTGAGGAGTTTAAGGAATTGCCTCACTTTAGAATAGCGATGTTCGGTGTTTTATTGTTGCTGTCTTGGGCTTTGTGAACTTACTGGGTTTCGGTGTTCCTGAGAGCAATACGAATCGTTCTTTGAATCTTGAAGGCTGCACGTTGTGACTGCTCAGCAGGCTTTGGAGAAGTTCTCGTGTGATCAGAGCGCGTGTGAGGCATGGATAAGCAGCCATGCCCAGTTTGGTGTGAATCTGCTTTAGACCCCATGCTCAGACCCACTGGCTTTTGTCTCAGTTTTATGAGCAAGTAAGAATCCGTGTCCCCCCCTTGGAGGGCTCCCTTGCAACATCTGCCCAGGAGCGTCCACTGCCCTGACTTACACCCGAAGGCCATTGTCAGGTTCTCAGCTGGTTACTGCCCTCCAGCCTAGCCTTCAGGGACAGTTGGTTCAAAGCTGAGGCCCTGGTTTGAATGCACTGTTTTACTCCGTGTGAGGAAAACATGTGGACACTTCCTTCCTCCGCTGACCTCTCAAGAATTCGTGAAACCTGTAGTGTTTGTACTTTTCCTGCCCAGAGAAGGCGCACCTATGGGGGTTTTGCTTAAGGCCGTTTCCTCATGTGAAGGTCTCTCTGAAACTAAACCTTTGAGCAAAGAGAGCAGTTAGTTCAAAGTGCTCTGCACAGGAGGTAGACGGGTCAGCAACAAGGAAGGACGGTAGCCACACACACAGCCACGCACATCCCCACTGCCACCGTGCTGCTGTGCTCTGAGTCGGAGAGAAAAATGCTCAGATGTCCCCAGCTGTTCTGAAACTCTCCAGCTCCTTGAGTAAATTAGCAGCTGTCCTGAGCCGTCTCAGACTCAGCTGCCAGCTGTGGGAAGGTGGGGGTGGGTTTTCCCAGATGCGCAGGCTGATGTGGGCCACTGTGCACACCTAGGATGAGGAAGTTGTTGGCAACATTTGCTTCCGCACCTGAGCAGCACCGAGCACAGAATCTGGTCAGGGTATTCAGGTGGCAGCAGGGCTGGCTGGCCGGTGGAGTGAGGAAGGAAACACTTGCCTCCTTAGCTCCAACGGCTTTGCCCGAGTGGCTTCTTGTATGCTTTTCTTGTTAAATTGTATCTAGCGTGTGGCCACCTGCATGTTTTCTTTCTTCTTTGATTTTATACATAAGTATCTTGTTATGTTGATAGACAGTATTGGATACCTGTTCTTTATTGTCCTTTCTTATTTATCTTATGTGTAGTCTTATTTTTCTGCACTATTTCGGAGCCCCATGTTTGTGTCTGGTGACTGAGGAAGCCAGAAGAGGGTGTTGGAGCCCTGGAACTGGATTTATTCATGGTTGTGTGTTGTGGGTGGTGGGAATCAAGCCCAGGCCTTCTGGAAGAGCAGTAAGTGCTCTTGATGGCCGACTTATCGTTCCAGCCCCTTGGCTGATTTTTGAGGCAGGCTCTAACATGGTCCAGACTGGCCTGGAAATAGTGATACAGCCCAACATGACATTGAATTCCTGCTCCTCCTGTGCCATCCTCCTGGGTGTAAATGCGAGGATCGCAGTCCGTGCCACCGTGGCAGTCCCCGGGGGAGCAGCAGACACTTACTTTGAGAAGGAGATATGAAAACATTCTTCGAGGGAGGCCACCAGGGAGGCCACCATCTAACACTCAGGGCTTCTTATCTAGAGGAAACACAGACAAGAGCTAATCTGGGCTCTCATGCCGACGCTTGACAGATCACAAGAGGGTTGCTTGTAGGAAGAGAAAATCTGCCGTTGGGGGATCCTGCGAAGAGCCTGTGCCCAGTGTCTGCACGTGAACGCCACAGGATGGAGAAAGCTTTCCGTTAGACTGTCTCATGGAAAGGGACCACCAGAGGACTCCGAGGAAAGATATGGGACAAGAGTCACATGCCCCAAGTCAGCAAAAACTAGAGGGACATCAGCTGAAGGGACAGGCCTCGTGTAGTGAATGAGTGCAATGGGAGGCCATGAGCTGATAGCCTGTCTCAAACATAAACAAGTGAAAGATGTAAAAGGTTGGGATAATGGTGAACCAGGAAACAAAGCCAGCGAGAGCATGCTGGGCAGTTCTGACGGGCTAGAGGACCAGGCTCTCCCTGATGCAGGGACGGATGCGGAGCTGGGGAGATGGACAAGGAGGGAAAGGCTGTCGCCACCAAGCCTGCATCTGAGTTTGATTCCCAGAACTAAGATAATAGAAGAAAAAAATTCCCATGAGATATACCCAGACCTCCACAGGCGTGCTGTGGCGTGTGTGTGCACACTCGCGTACATAAGTGTGCGGGCATGCTCAAAATTAACAAAGAAATCTGAGGAAAATTGAAAATGGAGACTAGGCAATTCAGACGGTGTAGTACAATGGCTTAAGGGCACAGGGCTTAAAGTCAAACTAGCCTGTCTTCTAGCCTGTGTCCCTCCCCCGTGGAATGCAAGGGGCAGAACACACAGGCCACAGCAGCCAGGTGTGGCCAGAGCTGGCGCACAGGGGCTGCTGGAGCAGGCTTCCAGAATGTGCCCTCTCCACTTTACAGCTGGTGTGTGTGGAATGGCATGCCCTAGGGGGAAACTCGTCTGCTCACAGGCAGTCTTCCTGCTTAGCCTCAGGGCTGGAAGGGCTGGGCTGTGGCCTTCGCAGAAAGGCAGCAAGCCCGTGGCTGTGGAGCAGGTGGCAGGAGCGTTTGTCAACCGCCTTTGAGAAAGTCACAAACAAGTCTCTATGCCCGAGTCCTCCCCCCAGCCTCGCTGAGCTCCCCACAGGGACAGGGTCTGTGCTCACCTCCACAGACCAGTACCCTGGAACTCCCGGCTCTCTGCCCTTCCTCCACACCAGGCCAGCTGTTCTGTAGCACTGACATTTCTAATGTTACTTTTGTGCATCTCTGGCATCCTGCCAGGCCTCCTGAACTGAGTGACTGAGTGTCTTCGTGGCCTCCCTGGCTGCTAAGGGCAGAAAGGATTTCTTCATTTGCTGGTGACTGTTGCATACTTTCTTACGTGGTTTCTTCCTAACACTGTATATCACATAAGCTTTGCGCTATTTTCTTTTTGTTTACTATTTATCGGCTATTGTTGTTATTTCATTATTTGCTCATCTGCGTGTGTGTATGTGCATACCCACGCAGGTGAACTTGAAGGCACGGGCAGGTGGGGCCTCCTGGGGCTGAAGTTACAGGGGGTGAAAAGCCTCCCAACTTGTGTGCTGGGACCCAACTCAGGTCCTCTGAAAGAGCAGCAAGCACTCTTAATTGTCGAGACACCATCACTGTTATCATCATTATTACATACTTTTATTCTGAAATTATAATCACATCATTTCCTCCTTTCCTCTCCTCCTTCAAACCCTCTCATATATTCCCCTTTTCTCACTTTTAAGTTCATTGGCCTTTTTTTAAATTAAGAGTGTGTGTGTGTGAACTCAGTTGCTCTCAGAGCCCAGACCAAGGCACTGGATCCCCTTGAGCCACAACTACTGGTGTTTGTGTACAATGTGGCAAGGTGCTTACTTAGGTCTCAGAGCATACGTGCTCTTAACCACTGTGCCTGCATTATTTTCACTCTTTTCTTTTCCCCTCTCTCTCTTTCTCTTTGTCTGTCTCTGTCTCTGCCTCTCTCTCTCTCTGTCTGTCTCTCTCTCGTTTTTTGAGAGCAGGTCTCATTGTTTGCTCTGACTGTCCTGGACCAAGCTCACCTTAACCTCACAGAGCTCTGCTGCCTCCTGAGGGCTGGGATCAACGGTGTACAGGCACCGTGCCCTGCCCTGGCTCATGTGATATTTCAGCGCTCTCCTTCAAGCAAAATCATAAAACATTCAGGCTTTAAAACACAGAATTTCTGCCCACTCGTGTCCACATCATACCTCACGCAGTCAGCAACAGTGGGTCACCAGGACAGTGGGGATGGGCTGGAACCGGAGGAGGCCAGGGGCGTGGTCCTCCAGGTGTCTGCCGCCTGTCTCTCGCACATGCTTGAGCTTTGCCTGTGTTGTGCTTGAGTTGTTGGGCTACATTCATCTCTGTGAATATCCTGCACACTGATTCCGTTATTAGGAATCTAAAATACTTGCCAGTTTTTGTTGTGGATAAAGACACTGTCAGCAGTTACGCACAAGGCTCTGTGGAGACCTACTCCCCACAAATAAATACCTGTGAGCGGAATTACTAAGTCAGAGCTTAGTCTGAACTCCAATCAAAAATAAAAATCTCCTGAGAGGGTAGAGAGGCAGCTCCGAAGTTGACAGCACATTTTGCTCTTCTAGAGGACCTAGGTTTGGTTCCCAGCACCCACATGGCAGCTCACAACCATCTGTAACTCCAGTACCAGCGTGTCAGACGCTGTCTTTGGCCTCCTCAGGTGCTGCGCTTATGTGCTGCACAGACACACATGCAGACAGAATATAGATAGAATAAAAATGGTGACTCACGTTTCAGATTCCCACCCTGCTGAGTGCTCCAAACCTCCCCATTGCTGTGTGAAGGCCTGTGCCCCCAACCTCAGTGTTCGAAGTTTGAACCCTACTGACAGGTCGTTGATGGTAGCTTGTAGGTGACAGTTATCCTGAGTGCTTTTCCCAGGTTCTGACTGGCATTGTTTGTTTTTGTTTGTTTGTTTTTCTGAAGTGTTTATTCATAGATACACAAATCATTGGACGAATAGCTTTGCCGTTAATAAATTTTTATTTAAAATTGTGCTTGTATACTTCTTTGTGGTATCAAATGGAAACCTAAAGCCTTTGTTTTGCTTTGTTTTTATTTGTTTCTGTTTTTTGTCTGTTTGCTTGCTTGCTTGTTTAACTGGTGCTGTGAGGCAGGCACTTGGCCTCTGCCAACCTCCCAGCCTGCAGCCTTGAGCCTCTGGCACAGACACTCCCCCAGCCCAACTCTGATGTATGGATTCTTAGTTTGAGTGTGTGCTCTCACTCAAGCCACAGCAAGCCTCTGGAGGTCTGGGGATGGTTTTTTGGAGTCAGCCTTCTCTGAGGCTTGGACCCGGTCACCAACCTTGTACAGCAAGTCTCTACGCTCACTCGGGGAGACCTCTCACCAGCCCTGGCAGGGTTATTTCTTAGTACCCAGAACACGTACTGCATTGCGAAGATGTTCCTTGTAGGTGTGCGGCCTCATGAACCCTGCCGTTCATAACAGCAGCGTCTGATTTTCAGCATCGAGGTAAGCGTCAGGCCTTTCTTTGCCTGATGGCATCACTGCTGCCAGAAAGCTGCTTAGGTCAGGCTCTCTTGCTGCAGGGAACCTGAGACTTTTGGCCCTACCCTACAGGCAGCAGCAGGGGCGGTGGCCCTTGTTTGCCTTGATTTTTTTGTGAAACCTGAATGTCCCAGACTCTGTAGCTCCCGCTCTGCAGAAGAATGCAAAGCTGAATGCAAACAGGAAGCCATTTGACTTGTTTTGTCGTATGGAAAATATGGAAATCGCTGCTAGTCCTCCCCTGAACCACCTGTGAAAACAAGTTTGCAGTTTGAATGCTTCCTGGAGGATGGGCCTTGTAGATGGTCCTACCCCTGTCCACATCCCTGTGCAGCACACACACTGGGCCGAGGGAATTTGTATTTTGGAGTGGCATGACCTTGGGAAGCCCTGTGGAGACTCCTGGAAGTGTCAGCCACTGTTTGTAAGCTGAGGAGAGGTCTGTGTGCTTCCTACAGTGAGCACAGTCTCACAAATCTGTCAGGTCTCCGGGGCACGGTGGTTCATACCGATAACCCTGGCACTGGGAGGCTGAGGTAAGAGCATCCTTAGCCTGAGGGCCAGCCTGAGCTACACAGCAAGACTCTGCCCCTACCCCACCCCCAAAAACCAATAAACCACAAACAAGGGAGGGTTCTGGGCTACAGGTGGCTTGGCTGATGAAGTGCTTGCTTGGCAAGTGTGAGGACTGGAGCTCAGTCCCCAGAACTCCCATGATTAAATCTGGGCATGGTCATGCACATTTGTAATCCAAGCAGATGTGTGGACCAGCCAATCATGAGCTGGGAGAGAGATCTGATGGTGGGCGTGGCGGGGAGTGGGTGGTGGTTTGGAGGAAGGTACAGAGATAAAGAAGCCACCTGTTTGTATAGCAGCTGGTCTTGCCACGCTGGTGAGGTCCAGGTTCAGTGAGAACCCGTCTCGCTCTGGAGGACAGTGAATCGGGAGGCCACCTGTCATGGTTCCCTGTGTGTGTGTGTGTGTGTGTGTGTGTGTGTGTGTGTGTGTGTGCCTGCGCATGTACTCACTGAGTGGGTTTATTTTCCTGTTCTTGGCTATGATTTAAGGACTATGGGCTTCAATCAACTGACACCTTCCTGCATAACTTAGAGTAGGTATTTTCCCCAGTTTCCAATATTTAAGAGATAATGCTTTAAAACTCATTGGCAACTTTTAGATATCAGGTAGATTTTAGGCATCAGGAAGGTGGCTTTTGTTTTGTATTGCTGTGTCTCCCTGTGTAGCCCAGGCTGGCTCAGAACCTGTCCTCACCCGCCTCAGGTTCCGAGTGCCGAGATTACGGGTGTGCACACCTCCACATCCAGCTCGGGCAATTTGTTGTTTACTTTTTCATCTGTGTTTTCACCTGTGTATATGTCTGCCATGCGTGCGCCTGGTCCTGCAGAGGCAGGGGAGAGCCTGGAATCCCCTGGAACTGGAGTTGTGAGCAGCCTTGTGGGTGCTGAGACGCGACCTAGCTCCTCCGCACGGGCGGGCGGCCAGTGCTCTACCCACGGAGCCACCGCCCCCAGCCCCGTAGAAAGACAAACATTTTTAATTCCAGAGAGTGGCCTCGTGGTTTGGGAGTCCTTGCCTCAGTCCTGTGGGGATCAGTGTTCTCATGACACAGCTGGCTTGCTCCCAAACGGGAGGGAGCTCCTGGTTCAATGGCAGACTTGTCTCAAGCAGTGAGGTGGAGGAGAGACTGAAGAGGACAGCTGACGTCAACGCGCACACATACAAACACACATAAATAGAACCTGTTCACAAGTACTCAAAATTTCAGCATGGATCCTTGATTGGAGGATGTTGGTCCTACCAGAGAGAGGGCTTTTAAGACTGAAAAGCCAGCTCTCAGCTAACAAACAAACACAGCAGCGGGGCCAAGCAGCCAAGGAGATGCTGCCTCTGTCAGAAAGGTCAAGAGCTACCTGCCAGAGTGAGCGCTCTCCTTATCGTCTGCTACACTTGTACCAAAGCCTCTGAGAAGGAGCCATTTTCCCCACTGTAACTGAGCACACATCACACGAGATTTGGGGTTTGGTTTGGACTGAAGCAGTAAGCTGTGGAAGGGTCCTTCAGTGAGCTGCTCTTGATGTAACTCAGCGGTTGCCATGAAGTGTCTACAACCAGCTCAGTATGGCCATGTTTAATCTCTCCTTTCCTATACTTCCTTTCATTGCTTTGTAAACTTTTGATGGCTTTCCTCTAGAGTCCCCAAAAGGGAGGAGAGCAATATCCATGTCTGAGAATGGATTCCATTTCCCTCCACAAAAGGGCAGGCTTCCTAGGATATCAACCAAACATGGCATACCAAGTTACAGTAAGACTGGGCATCTTCCCTCATATTGAGGCTGGATGGAAAAGAGTCCCAAAAGCAGGAAGGATCCCAGCAGGAGGAAAAGGGTCCCCAAAGCAAGCAACAGAGTCAAAGACAGCCCCTGTTTCCACTGTTAGGAGTCCCTCAAGAAGATCAAGCTACACAATTGTAACATACATGCAGAAGGCCTAGGTCAGGCTCCCTGGCTGTTAGTTCACTGACTCTATATTTTTTTAACTTTTTGAAACTTACATGTATGTATATGATGTGTATGTGTATGTATATATGCATGTACATGGAGGGGGCCACTTGGAGGAGTGGGTTCTCTCCTTCCTTCATGTGGATTTCAGGAGTCCAGCCCATCAGCCTCGGCAGCAGGTGCCTTTACCACAGACCCATCTCACCAGCTCCCTAAAATGTAATAGACGCTATTATGGCTCCTGTGAGTTGTGTCTCTATAAGCTTCTTTGTTCCCTGCCTAAGGGTTTTACGTCAAGCCAGTGGCTCCCTGTTCAAAGTTCAGATCTTACTCACAGATTAAATATTGTGGTTAATACAAGGAGAGGTTTACAGATACAAATGTGTCCCCTTGAAGAACAGTTAAAGCTGGCTACCATCAGCCTGCTCAGGCTGTGGGCCTGCTCTAAGGCCTGGTGTGTCTCGGGCTTGTGATTACATTATCATCTGTCTCACAGCAGGCCTTTTCTGACCAGGAGTCTCCTCACTACGATCACCTGTCCTGCACAGAAAGACCTGGACTTCTAGAGAGAAAATTGGTAAGATTGAGGGTTTTATTTTATTTCTTAGGTAACAACTGTGGTTTGACTATTATATCAAAACAAAAATATAATTCAAACCAGGCATGTGGCTGCACCTCTTTAATCCCAGCCTTCCAGAGGCAGAAGTGGCTGATCTCCATGAGACTGAGGACAGCCTGGTTTATATAGCGCATTCTAGGCCAGGCAGGCCTACACATTGAGACTCTGTCTCAAAACAAAAACACCCCTAACCCACACAGAAAAGAAAGAAAGAAAAATAGGGACTGGAGAGATGACTCAGGAGTTAAGAGCACTGGCTGTTCTTCCAGAAGATCAGGGTTTGAATCCCAGCACCCGCATGGCAGGTCACAACCATCTATAACCCCATTTCTGTGGGATCCAGCACCCTCTTCTGGCCTCCTCTGGCATTACACTCTCACGGTGCATAGACACAAATGCAGGCAAAACACCAGTATATAAAATAGTAATGGTGATGATTTAAAAAAAAAAAAAAATTTCATTCAATATGTATAAAAAGGCTGAGCAATCTAAACATACTACTTTTCTATAAAAAGATAACCAGACAGGAAATGGTCCCCTCTTTTTAATTTTTCTTCTTAATTATACCATCTGTTCTAAGAGGTAGGACATTTACCGCCTTTTGACAGCAGTAACATTAAGAATTATGTGACGGGGCCTGCCCCTCACTCCTACCCCCTCCCCAGAGCCTTGTTTCTGTCTAGGTGTGAACTGTGTAGATTTGGTAGTGTGTGAGCGTCCTGCTAACTGCTGCCCAGAGGTGCTCTCCCCGGTTTTGTTTGTGGGTGCTTGGGACTGAACCTCAACCTCAATCTCCAGTTGTTTTACTTTCTGTTTTGAGACAGGGTCATACTAAGTTGCCCAGGCTAGCCCTGCACCCACTTTGAGGCCCAGGCAAATCTTGAGGTTGAGATGCTCCTGCCTCTGCCTCCCAGAGGTAGCTGGGCTCGAATCAGAATCTGGATTTGCTCCTGAGCTGTAGCCTTGGGTAGAAGTCTGAACGCTTTGCTCTGGAACATTGTCACTTGGAACCCATCGTCGCATCCTGTGTACCTTTTTCTTTGAAATTTTGTCTATTTTTATTTTGTGTTTGTGGGTGTTTGGCCTGCGTGTGTGTCTGTGCCCTGCATGTGTGCAGTGCCCACAGAGGCCAGAAGAGGACGTTGGATCCCAGGCCGCTGGACTTACAGATGGTTGTGAGCCAGTTAGTGCTAGAACCCCAAAACTGGGTCCTCTGCTAGAACATCCAGTGTTCCTAACTGTTCTCTGACACCCGTCCACTTTTTTAAGAACGTTTCTACTAACTGAGAATTTCCTACACTGCATTTGGGCCTATTCCTACCCCTCCACGCTCCTCATGCCCTCCCCCACCTCTCTGCCTGTCTAACTTTGTGTTTGTTTTACCTGCCCCTGCCTGGTGGAGGCTTTTCTTAAGCTGAAGGAATTATCTTGAGAACTGTAGGGCGAATTTTCCTTTAGACAACTACTAATGCCGGCTTTCTGTTCAGAAGCAGCCCTGCCACAAACCTCAGCGGAGGCAGAAATCAGGTAGCCTTGACCTGGAAACACCAGTGCCAGTGTGATCTCCACTGGGTGAGTGTGGACACGTCCCTCCCCACTCGGCCCACATGTGGGTGGGGAGGGGTTTCTGGAAAGAGACAATAATCAATAACCATGACATCAGAGCAGGGAGATGTACTGGAAGTTTGTCTAGGGATTCAAGTAATATAGATGGCAGCATCCACTCTATCCCAGGTACCATTACACATAATTAAAACAAATCCTAAAGCAGCAAGTTCAGAAAACAGTCCACAGAAGACGGAAGAAATGAAGTGGGGAGGTGGCTTTGGGACTGTGGTAAAAGGATGCAGATGGGTGGAAAGTGGGCGGTGAAACTGGCGGACTTAGAGGACTTAGTAGAAAATGAAGGGAAAGTGGGACCTGGTGGCTGTTCTGAACAGCCAGGCCAAAGAAAAAGAGAACCGCATGCTGCAGATGGCCTGGGGGCAGACAGCACCAAGGCTGCCCCTGTGGGCAGCCCCAGCGTGGTTCAGAGCTGACAGAAGTGCTGGGCCCAGCTTAGGAAGGGTTCTAAAGAAGGTGGTTTTTGGATCATTTGAACTAGAGGGTCAGCGGCGGCTGACAGAATGCTGGACGAGGTAAGCGCTCTTGACCAGCCTGTTTTATTCACGAAAACTCAGCTAAACCCCACTCCACAGTGGAGTAAAGACTGCATCCTTCCCGAGCTCCGTCTCTCACCTTCATTAGTCGTCTCCACAGTCTGATGAGGAGGATGCTAGAGCCGTTCCCCTTCTACTGTACTTACCTTCATGGACTGGAGTCAGACTGTCCCATGATGCTCTACCTGCTCCCCTGGCTCCTGGCCCTTTTTACTTTACATTAAAAATATCTTTAGGATATTTTACCTTACATTATTTTGTATGTTTGACTCTTTTGTCCGAAAGTATGCAAATGCACAATATGTGTGCCTGGGGGGACTTACAGAAGACCGTGAGCCACTGGGTGCTGGGAACCGAACCAGGGGCTCTGAAGGGCGGCAAGTGCTCGTAAGCAGCGCGCTTCCGGCCTGTAGCTCTCATTTTAAGGATGGAGAAACAGGAACATCAAACACAACTTTCCCCAGTGTGTCCCTTCACATAAAAGTAAATTCGGGCTCTGAGTGGAGAAGTTATTCGCCTACAGTCGCGCAGCCTGCCTGAGGCAAAGCCAGCATTTGAATCTGAATTTTTTTAAACATTAAACTTTGCATCTTCCTGTGCCCTGAGACACAGCGACCCACCATCCCCAGGCATACTCCCAGCCACACCTCTGATGGTTTCTGATCACAGAAACCCTCCTTCCCACAGCTTTCCTCTTAAGGAGTCTGCAAAATTGTTCTGGAAGGCCAGGTAGTAAGTATTTTAGGCTTTTCTAGGCACACAATCTCCATGGCAACTCTTCAGCACCACTGTGAGACATAAAAGTAGCCACGAACTGCCCCCCAAATGCCATGGCTACCTGCTAATAAAACTTTACTTATAAGAACAGGCCGCTGTCCGAATGTTGTCTGCTGTGGATTGTGGGCCAGCTACTAACTCGGTGGACAAGGGTTTCCTGTCCTCCTTTACCCACACCTCAGCTTTTGTTTTGTTGTGTGTTTGTTTTTAATAAACATCGGATACTTCTACCTCCCTGTAGCTGGGGATCTAGGCGTTTTAGAATAAAATATTAGGAGAATTGGATTGATTTTTACTTTTTCAGATTTGGTGCAACCAATTTCTTGGGTGAGAAAAGTTAAATCTTTAAAACAATTTGGATTAAGGTTCACCTCTGTCCTCATTCCTTCCTGCTCCAGATGCCTCACATCTTGAGGGCCTTACAGCAATCCCAAGGCTAGAGCTCCTGGGTCAGCAGCTTAGCCCATGCTCCGTGTGAAAGGTCCCCAGAGCAGGAAACACAGGATGGGGCTTTGGATGTGACAAGAGGATCCCAGTAAGTGAGACCAGAGCCCACCTTCTCCGCCAGGGGTGCGTGTGTGTCTGCTTAGTAGCTTATGTTTTATCTGACATTGTTACTTCTTTGCTATGTTTGGATGGGGTTTCTCCAGCTCTCTGAGGATTCACAGCTTAGAATCCAAAGGACATTGCTCTGGAATTTCAGAGACAGCTCTGAGCAACTCACTACATTTTCCCTGCTGAGTTCACTGCGATGAGTCATATAGACAGTTCAGACTCGGTCTGTTCCCATCTGTTCCCTGCACCTCTGTCCTCACCTGCCTTGTAAAGTCAAGAGACGGATTTTCAGGAAATGCTCCATGGCAAGATTAACTCCCCCAGTGACAGTCCTTTCTGTGCAAGAGCAGAGGAAGCCAGGCTTTGCATTGCAAATGTTGGATTTTCATCTTTGGTTGCTTTTCTGCCCTTAGTGACTTCTCTCTGAAGAAGATGGCTCTCTCTTCCTGCCTGATTGGAAATTGCCTGGGCTGGGGGAGGGGCAGTGGGAACTATGTTTGGTCCCTGCTCATCTGAAGTTTCTCACCTGCAGAAAGCCACCTCCCCCAGGCCTGCCCGCTCCACACAGGAGGCTCCGGCTAGATCCCACCAGAATGGCCGAGGACTTTAGAGTCGAAGTGAGTATGGACAGAGATCTGATTCATTTTCAGCACTACCATGCTCTGGCCTCTTTGGGGGCTGTTCCTCCTTCCTCACCGTTCTTGTAAGAAATATTATGGGACATCCTAGAAATATAATAAGAAATATCCAACTTTGAAGCCAGGAAGTTAAAATTCAATAACTCAGGGGCTTTCTGTTCCTTACATAGTATAAATCTGGATTATGGGGGGAGGGTCGGTTTGGTGGATAAGAGCACTGGAATTCTCTCACAGGGGACCTGGGTGCAATTCCCAGCACCGTATGAGAACCTACAACCATCCCTAAGTCTAGTTCCAGAGAATATGACACCCTCTTCTGGCCTCTGTGGGCATAGCATCCTATGTTACACATACATACACCTGTGCAGGCAAAACCTGCATGCACATAAACAACTCTAAAGTAAAAATAAAAACAAGCTTGGGGTGGAATGACTGAAGGGAGAGTTGGGTGGAAGTTGCTGAACCTCGTGGTATATCTTGGTTTTGTTATTTAAATTTGCTAATGGCTTTCATAAATCTCAGAGGGCAAAGACTTTCCAGGAGCTGAGGTCAGGGCATTGGTTCCTTTTCAGAGAACACACATTGCCAAAGGCAGGCAGTAATGGTGCTCCCCTGCTGACTATGACAATGCCGACCAGCTTCAGAACGGTCCTTAGGTAACCACCCCAGGCCAACTAGAAGTACTTGTGTCTTCTTGGTGTTCAGGATCTGCCCATCTGTCTTCTTACCTCTCTTAGAGCAAAACCCTCCCACCAAACAATCAGTTAACTGTTTTAATGAAGTCACAGAATTGAGAACTGTCATAACATGAGCCTGCTTTGATCACATCCGTCACCACTACCCCCATCCCCGACCCCCAACCCCCGCACCCATCAAGTCCTCTGTCCTTACATCTGTCCCTGGAGCACCAGCAATCCGCTTTCCCTAAAGACTTGCCCCTCATGGAGGTCTCTTGTGAGAGGAATCTGGCCCCCTGAGCCTGGCTGCTTCTAATTAGTCCTTCTGAGGTCCTCACCTGAGCTGTGCGGATGACCCCCTTCTTCACCGGCTGCGGGGCACAGCGCCGCCGACTACTGCCACGTAGTTTCTGCATAAACCGTTTCAAAGTGCTTTTGTGTGCAGCGCCGTGGGGACTGCCTCTTCATGTCCACTGTCTTGACAAGCTGCAGGGCAGGTCCCGTGGCCACCAGCAGCACCCAGGATTCTAACTTCTCTAGATCATCACCAACAGCATCTCACCGCAGCCAGCGCGGAGAGCGCGGACCCCATGGGTTTGGCTTTGCGTTTCTCTAATGAATAAAGATGGCTGTCGTCTTCGAATGTGTCTTCTGGCCATCTTCTATCTTCAGCGAGAATTTGTCTCCTGAGATCAGTGGCCCGCTTTAAAATTAGATGTTTCTCCACTTAATTTCATGAGTTGTTTTCATTCTTCTTGTTAAGTGCGTGCATCTGGTTTTATAACTCTATAATATGATTTCTGGCACACAGCTACGTACACTTTTCCTATGTAATAATTTATGCGTGGTTTCTGTTCATTGGTGCCCGTCTCACCGAGAAGCTAAGGGCAAGAAAGAAAAAGGCAGCGCCCTTTGCTATTACTTCCCAGTCTTCTAACGTTTTAATACAGGAAGTTGACCTTTGCCACTGAGAGGATGTTTGGTTGTTAGTAATTTCGCTTTTATCGGGCACTAATTTCACAACGAAGAGGGAAGCAGAAGCCTGAGCTGAGCATCAGGCAGGGTGCAGGAAGCATTTCCACAGGCCAGTTAACCCTCTCACCTGCCAGGGCGGGGGTGGGCTCTGCATGTCAGCAGGCCCCCGGAGGTGACTCAGCTAGGAAGCAGCTTCAGGGGACCCGGGCTCCCGCATCCCGTCGCAGCAGGCCGCATGTAGGGGCTCCCCTCTTCATGGTCACTTGTGGTTGTGCTGACGGCGCCCTGATGCCTGAGAGATGTTTTGTGCTGGTACATTCCGTGGGCTCTGTGGCGGGGCTGTTTTGTCTGTGGTCTTGACATCTTTTCAGAACTAGGGCCCCAATCACAGAGGACACATCTTTAGCATGCTGCTGAAGGAATGTCTGTCCCCTGTGGAAGCTCATGCTGCCTTCTTACATTCCCAGGAGGCTTCTTATCAGTCAGCTGTTCCAGTTCTCCATAGTGTACCTCCAGGTTTCTGTTCTCCAAGCATGCTCTGCAGCCTAGGAATGCCATTCCCTCCCTCCTCCCCACCTTGTCCTGTCCTCTGGTCCTCTGAACACATGTCCCAAAGCCTCCCTTCACCTGCCACCCCACCTCTGAGCATTTAGTGGTAAGCTCTCGTTCTTAGTGTTCTCATGCACAGTGAGTACAGGGATTAGACTAAGTGCAAAATAAACACAAGCAGAGCCATAATCCACACCCATCCCAGGACACAAGTGTGCTGGCCTTTTCCTAGCTTCACGCCGTGGTCCCTGTCCACAATGAACTGCTCACCCCATACTCTGGCTCTTCTGTCACCCGACAAACCTACATTTTCCCCGCACTGCCTGTGGTTAGCTCTGTAACTCAGCCCAAACCAGGCCGGGCGTACCATCACCATAAATCACACAGACCTGTCTGGGTGTTCCCCCGAACACTGCTGTTTCTCCATTTGTCAAAATTCTGTTTGGTTGTCAAGGCCAGTTTCAAAAACCGACTGCTTCACAAGGCCTTTCTGTGGTGACACGAAACGTTGCTGCTCCCGAGTCTCCACTTCTTGAGGTGGAGATTGCTAAAGACTGGGGGCTCGAGGTCAGGTTTCCTGGGTCACCTAGGGTACGAGCCAGAAAAGCCAGCTTGCGGCTGCAGTGCCTTCCTTTCTGGACTCTTTCTGCTCCCTTCTGAGTCCCCAGAAACTCTTTTTAAAATTGAAGTTGATTAGATTTTGAAACAGTTGTGTGCATCGCTGTTCATGAGTGCAGGTCGAAGGACGGTTCGCAGAGTCACCTCTGTCCTCTACCATGTAAATTCTGGAGATCAAACTCAGGACCCGAGGCTAGGCAGTGAGCATCTTACCCACGGGGCCGCCTTGCTAGTCCTAACTGGATCTGGATTATTTTTTAAAAACTCCCATAGTTCATGTTGCCTGGAACTCACTGTGCAGCCCAGACTATCCAAAGACTTTGATCCCCCTGCCTCAGACTGAGACTATGAACATCTCACCAGACGCTAGGCCCAAATGGCTGGTCCCTTTCTTGTCAGCTATACTGTGATCGTCCGTTGTGTTTGTCTTTCTGTCTGCTTGGAGAGACAGCCGTGGGCACTCATATCACCACATGCATGTAGGCGTCAGCACAACTTGCAAGAATTAGCTCTCTCCATCTATCGTGTGGTCCAGGGGCTGCAATCCAGTCACCAGGCTTGGTAGCTCGGGTCTTTACCTGCTAGCCACCTCGCTGACCCCAGTTTCTTATTCGGGATCCTGTACCAGGCAGTTAGCCCAAGGGAGAGCATTGGAAGGGGACACAGAAGCAGTTTAATCAGAACATGAAAGGCAGTGGTCTTTCCATGGATTCAGGACTGAGCATGCGGGCGCAGGGCTCGGGGGTTCTACAGGGTGGAAAAGGAGAGCTTTGAGTTAGAAAGTTCCATCTACGGACCTGCGTCCTACAGTCTCCAACAGGAAGTTGGTATGTTGACATCCTTACCAGGGGCTGCCCAGGTCCTAGCTCCCAGCAGAGAATGCCATCAGCACGTCAGCCTTCTTGATGGAGGCTCTCAGCTCACCTGGGGTTTGGGGGGTATTAGCCCTGCAGAGAGGCCCCTTCTTTGCTCAATTATCAGTGTGTCCCCAACAACCTGGGCGGACCCGCAGTCTTGCTGTCACCGGCAGTGTCCGCTTTGTCATTACTGCGGGGAGGGCTGGATTAGGTCCCTGCTTCCAGTCTCTCTCTCAACTGTGTTCCTAAAGTCTCAGGATCCATTTCCTAGTTTCTCCACATCTGCAGAGGAAGCTCCTCCGTTCTTCCACTATCTCAGATCACAATACAAGATGAAACAGGACAGCAGCATTTGTGAGAGGGTCTCTGAGTGGGTAAAGGAGGCAAGCAAGGAAGCAGCCTCAGAGGGTGTCATGTCCTGTGTGGGATGTCCTGAAGGAGAACAGCGCTCACTCGGGGACCCAGGAGAGAAGTTCAGGGGTTTGGATGAAATGTGCTTTCTGGGATTTCACAGCAATGTGGGGTGAGATTCAGGGTGTGAGAAAACAGACAAAAGGAGACTGACCTCAAGAGCTAGCCCCACCATCTACTCTCGCATCTGCTTAAAAGCTGTTGATTGAGTTTTAGCCAGATGGACTAAAGTTTGGAACTGAGCAGGCCTAAATGAAGACTGACCACATATTAGCTGTGGGAACGTGTATGAGTGACTGCACCTGTCTGAATTTGTGTCTCCTATGAAAGGGGAATGTCACTTTGCAAGTCCTTTTGAGTGTCTATGAACACACATACAAACACACTCCTTTATGTATATTACATACCTAAACATGTGTTTCTACAGCATGTTCCTGCCTACTGGCTCCTGGAAACAAGCCAAGTAGATCCATGTGGAGGGGCCAAACCATGCCCTCTGAGATCCACTCTTCCACTTGCTGATGGGCAGGGAGGCCTTTCTTTTCCTGGCGCCTTTCCTCAGCTTCTGGGCGGGGTGTCACTAGAACTCACAGATGTTGAGGCATCACCTGTGGGCTCCAGTTGCAGATAAAGCTTCTGAGCTTGTGTAAGGAGGCTGCTGTCCTACCACCCACACTTTGAAATCCTTCCTCCGTGGCCACACGCCCGTCTTCACCTCTGACAGCCCCTTTCCTCATCAGTAATAGACAGCCTCACCTGCTCTGCTGCCCTTAGAGAAACCCCTGTGGCGCAGTGTGTGAAAATGACCCCCCGCTTTCCAAGACAGCCAGACGGCACAGCAGTGTTGGGGACAGTGGTCAGGAGCACAGATCCAGCTGCTCTCTCCACAGGGTCCTCCCAGTTCACAGGGATTTCTCTGGGACAATGGCCCCCTCAGCCTGCTTGCCTCTCCTCGGGCATTGCCTTCACTGCTGGTCCAAGAACAGGCAGCCTCACTGAGTGCCTCGAAAACCTGGATACACACTAGATATTTGTTCCTGCCCCGAATGCCCAAGAATTCGGGAGATCCGTGATGCAGCACTCAGGAGCCTGAGGCAGGAAGGGAGGCTTGAGTCTGAGGCCAGGCTGGGCTGTGGAGTAAGACCCTGCCTCAAAACAAAATTTTTGCTTCCTCCTCTGGTCTCTACAAAGATGCTTGGCAGCACATGTGAAATTGCTGGTTCATATTAAAGACTTTAAGGTGGTTGTTGCTTTTAATTTTATGTGTATGGGTGTTTGCCTGCATGTGTACATGTGCCGCATATATCAGTGTCCAAAGAGAGCATTGGGTCCCCTGGGCTGCAATTACAGACAGCTGTGAGCCACCATGGGGGTCCTGGGAATTGAACCTAGGTCCTCTGCAAGAGCACCCAGGCTGTTGGCCACTGAGCTGTCTCTCCAGCCGAAAGAGTGCGTGTGTGTGTAAACACAGCACATATGTGGGTAACAGAGGCCATAAGTGTGTGTCAGATCCCCTGGATCTGAGCTTAAGCAGCTGTGTGGTACCCAACATGGGTGCTGGGAACTGAGCTCAGGTACTCCAAAAAGCCAGCAGGTGCTCTTGACTGCTGAGTCACCTCTCCAACCCCAACCTGGCTATACAGCAAATGCCCAAAAACAGGATCTGTGCCTTTGACCCAGGGTCAGAATGACCAAAGGTGCTAAGCTCAAAGGCTGCGCCCCAAAGAGCAAAGGGCTCAGGGATGAAAATCTGCACCTTCAGTTTAAAAGACCTCAACTGCTTTTCCTCTGTCCTTCATGCCATGACTCGTTTCCATATGAGACACTGTCACTGGAGAGGACAGTCACTGAGGAAAAGGCTGGGTCCATTTCTACTGTCTTGCGGGATTTTCTGGCCATTGTCTGTCCTGTTTCCTCAGGCTGTGTGTGGGCGCAGCACTAATAACCTTGGAGAATAAATGACACCGACAGCTCCAAGATTGATTCATGCAGATGCGACTGATAACTGGTGCCAAATGAACCTTTCAGGGCCAGGAGCACCCACAAGTTTGAGGGTGTGGTGTACTTTTTAGTTAGGGAAAAAATTAAGGAAATAAGATTCTGCTTTTGTCCCAGTTCGGGAGAGAGTCATCCTCTCTTTGGAGCCTTTACATGGGCACAGAGTCTAGTCTTAGGTCTGTATAAACTCTGGCTACATTTTTCCATCTTACTGATTTGCATACCATGAGCTGTCTCAGCTCTGCCCAGTAGTAAAATCATATAGGTAGCACCTGTTTATCAGAAGAAGCATTTCCATTTACAGAGCTGATGTTAAAGCAGCATTTTAGCAAGAACAGACAGTCCTACGAGAATATGTGGGCTAATGAATCCCTAAAACCCCAAATCTTTCCCTACTGTTCTTCCTATTTTTCTATGTACATACTGAGATTGTGTGTGCGAGTGTGTGTGTGTGTGTGTGTGTGTGTGTGTGTGTGTTTGCTGACCCAGCCCTTAGAATGTCTCAGTGTGTTCATACCTTGACAGCCACGCCCTGGGTGAACGCCTCAGAGCAAGGGCTGGGGCCTGGGTTTCCATGTAAATGGGATCAGGTCTCTATTTGAATGGGCCTGAGAGGGGTGAGTGTTCCTTCTTCTGGTGTTCTCTTTGTGGAGTGAGCCGGTCTGCCACAAGTAAGTCAGTTTCCCACCTGAATTTAATCTATTTCTTGTTTTTGTTGTTGTTGGTTTGGGTTGGGTTTTTGGTTTTTGGTTTGTTGGTTTGTTTGCTTTGCTTTTAAAATATGTTCAGTAGATTCTCTCTCACAATCCCTCTGGTCAGGAAGTTGTTGGTGGGTTAGGTCTTGCGTGAGCATGGGATAACAGCTGAAGTTATTCCTATCCCTCACAGCCTGCTCGAAGGCTTTCTCCCCAACTGTCCTATACTACCACAACCCCCGAGTTTGAAAAGCAAAAACGCAATCCCTTTACCTGGTTATTCTCACGTGATGGATGAAGACTGGGCCACACTTACGACAGCTGAGGCTCGGGTTCCGCTTCGTGTTGTTACCTGATAGTCAGGTTTTATAAAGATCAAGGACGTGAGAGTTAAGTCCTGCCACTTCTCCGGATGTGCTTAAGGAATCAGGGAAACAGACGGCCATTTCGTTTGTGAGGTTTCTTTCTCCCAGAGCACACAGGACGATTCTGTAATAAACAAGTATTTGACATCTGTCAAAATGGTTGTGAACACGGTCCGGATCATAAGATGGGAGCTTTCTGCCATGCAACGAGGCCCTCCAAGTGTCCTGTCTAAGGTCCCAGGTGCATAGAAGGCAGGACCCCTGCAGATAAGATTGTCTGGGACACCATATGGCAAATCATCTGTTTGCTGTGGTTGTGGTTTTGGCTTTAAACAGGAAAATTAGACTTTTCAAATAGAAAGTTTGCAAAAAAAAAAAAAAAAATCAAGTGTGTTCTTTTTCTCCTCCCACTTTGGAAGCCTATTTAAGGGCGTGTGAACACAATTCTATGTTAAAATGCAAGTTAAGGTGCCGGCTGACGAGGCTGTGCTTATCACTGCTGAGTGCTGGCATGGCTTATGTGCTAAGGACTTTAAACGTTTTTAGAGACATCAATTCTTGATTTTTATGAACTATGGCATCCAAAGAAATGGAATAGTACTTAAGCTTCTCCAGTTTTTAATAGCGTCGTTTCTTATACATACTGAATAAAGGCAAAACTGTAATCACTGTGTATTTAAATGATACAGAGACAGGGCCAGCGCCATTTAACTTCCTGCAGGTGACACCGAACAGCTCCTCGGCATGTGAATACACCCCAGTTGACTGCATGCTCTGCATGGAACAAAACATCTCAGGATATGTAGACACAGCTGCCACTCCAACATTTTAAGATGCAAAAACAAAAATAAATAAAAGCCCTGATGGACTGGAACAGAAGCTGAATACAGATTCTTATTTTTCAAGTTTTTCTTTCTTATTTGAGGCGAACACATTAAAATTAATGTTTAAAATTTAAAAATATCTATTGTGTGTCCACGTGCCTGTGTGAATGTCTCTATATTCAGGTGCCTGCAGAGGCTGGAAAGGGGTATCAGATCTCCCAGAGAGGGACTTACAAGTTCTTCTGAGTCTCCATGTGGGTGCTGGGAACCAAACTCGGCTGAGCCCTCTCTTCCACGCGTGCTTGTAGTTAAGTCTTTGTAAGTCGGAACAGTGGAGAGGGCACTCTTGCCCAATGCCCCGAGTTCGCGCATGCTCACCGGTGGTCTGTAAAGGCGCGGACACTGTGTTCAGCCTGGTTCAGAAGACTGGCTGTCTGCTTCTCAGGCTCTGGGTAGACTCTTCGCCCTAGGCCTAATTTCTTGCACCCTGAGCTCCCTCCCACCCAAAAGAACCCTCAGGATAACACCTTTGGGGAAATGAGATGATCCATACATGTCGGATGCAGTGTGCGTGTGGAGCGGAGACTAGTCGCAGGAGTCAGACCTCTCTTTGCACCATGCTGCTGGTTTCCAGGAACCGAACTCGGGTCTTGAGACTTGGCATTAGGCACCTCCAGGTGCCGAGTCCTCTAGCTGCCGCTGGCCTTTGTAGATTTTTAACAGACGGGACGGCTGAGAGGAGCAAGGTGACGGATCTCTGGCCTGGCACGGTCGAGGCCCTCGGTTGGTCAGGATGCCAACAGCCAAGAATGAGATAAAACCAGCCCTCCCTGAACTGCAGCTCTCTGCAACCCTGGTCAGTGCCTTCCTGAAGGCCGCATCCTTCCGCATCCAGCCTGCCACTGGCTGTGGCCTTTAACAGGTCTCTCTCGTCTGTATGGAGTTATGTGTGTTTTCACGGGCTTCAGACATGCTGGCGTGATAGCAATTTTGAAATCAATGTCCCTTCCTAAATACAAGTAACCAGAGGAAGCTTACAGGAAGAGCCCAAGGTTTAAGGAAGCACCCCACCGATAGCCCGCCTTTGTGTTTTCAGACCCTCACATCAGTTCCTCTCTAGGTGAGAATCCTCACTATGAATGTAAAGGTTCAAATGAGGTTTTGAGAACTTGTCCTAGCAGGTGAGCAAGCTCCCTTCGAACAGAGTCATGGATACTCCGTTCTGTAATCCTCCTGTTTCGATTAAGTCTAAACTATATGACTTATCTAGCAAGACACCTAAGAGCCATCTTGGGTCAAAAGTGTGATGCTGAGTAATGGTCACATAAATAAGAATATTACACTCACGTGGTACATCCCATGTAAAGAAATGTGGTGTCAGTGTGGGACGTGAACTCTGCCCTTTGAGTTCAGAATTTGTTTTACCCAAGGCTGTATCAGGTTTGCCTTAAAGCCGAACATTGTCCGTGAGAGCAGCTGTGATGAAGTTATGTGTAAGTAGGGGCCCATTTAACACTGCTGGGAATGTTTGCCTAGAGTGACTTTCACCCTGACCGTGTCTCCTTGCTCCCGCAGGAGGATGGTGTTGGCTGCCTGGACTCTGAGAGCCCGCCCCACCTCAGGTTTGCCAAGCTCATGAATTTAGGTGTACTCCCAGTTGGTTTTTACAGGAGTTCTTCGCCAGCCATGTTAAGACATTTCTCCCATCCTTTTGTCAGGGAGTACCTCACAGAAGCATCAGCCGAACACGCTTCATCCTCAGAGAGCACCGTGACGTCAAGTGGTAAGTAGATCTGGGAGAGAGGACATCAGAGTTGTCTTTACAGATTAGGCTCTGGAGCTGGGTGTGGTGGCACATGCCTGTGACCCCAGCACTCAGGGAGGCGGAGGCAGGTGGATTACTGTGAGTTTGAGGTCAGCCTGGTCTCAAGTCTACACAGAGAAACCCTGTATCGAAAGAAAAAAAAACACCAACTACTAAAAAACCAAATTAGGGCCTGGTTTGGCAGCCTGCTAAGGGGTGTGCAAATTAGCGGTGCCTAAGCAAATGCTCCTTCTGCGAAGCTCTCATGCCACCACTCTCCTCCTGTTGGCAGACTCTGGGTCGGACATTTCGCACATGGCTTCTGGTGACCTTGACTGCAAGCCTCTCTGTGAGAAGAAGGAGCAAGCAGGACCAGCCTCTGCCATGCCAGGTACGCCCTCCGGGCCCAAGGGCTCCAAGCGAGCGAGCCTAAAGAGTGGGAAAGTCAAAGGCCTTGGCACCTCACTAATGCTGGGTATTCCTTTTCAGAAAATAATAATATTTAAAATTCTGAAGATACAATCTGGAGAAAAGTGTAAGAGTACTATATAAAGATGGCGCCATTTTCTCTTTCAATCTTATAGACAGAAGACAAATCAGAATATGTTATAACAGGCCTTAAGTATTGCCATCTGACAGAAACTGACTGAGTTTGGTCAGTCTCATCAACAGGTGGGAGGAGAGAACCCCCTCTTAGACTATAGATTGGAGTATCCAGTCAGAATGTGGCGCTGTTAGCCTTGGTCCCCCTGTCCACGGGGACAGCCAGATGAGGGGCAGGTCCATGCGCTCCAAGAACAAAGCGCTTCTCTGTGCGTCTGCAGTGAGACGTCACATTTTGAGACAAGGTCTGGGTGTAACACAGCAGCTGGCCTGGAACTTACTATGTAGGCCAGGCAGGCCTCAAACTCACAGAGCTCTGCCTGCCTCCGCCTCCGAATGCCACGTTAAAGGCGTGTGCCCCCACCCCCGGCTAAATTCTATGCCTTCGGACTCTGGAACCAGGTCAGTCCCAGGCCGAAAAGTTAAGAAAAAATTGAAAACTGCTTTGGGGTGGGGGGAATAATTTTCAAAAGAAATTGATAGCTATTTTGTTCTTACAGTCTTTTTTGACACTACAAAGGCTATTGTTTCTTGACAAGTACTAAGTGTGTTAGGTAGTGCACGGAGCATTCTGTGTAGTGTATGCAAAAATGAACAGAAATTACCAGACATGTGTACAGAGTGTCCCCAAAGTGTCCCTCTTCTGCTTGATAGCCTGGTGTTTGGAAGTGTCCGTGCTTTGGTGGAAAGTCATGGTTCCAGCCTTGTGTACACGATTTACAAAACCGTGTCAAGGCCTAACTTTTAATGCCCCTGCTTCCTTCACGTAGCTTCTGGCATTAGAAGGGGCCAGCATTCGCCCCAGAAAACCTTAAAGAAATGTCCAGCCCTCGGTTTGAAAGGCCGCTCACACAGACTGGGAAACACAACTCAGCTCCCGAGCCAGCCTGGGCTACTCCGTCCCCGGCTGTGCCCTGGCAGACCCGAGTGTGCTCCAGGGCATCTCACTGCTGCCACGTGCCAGCCCATGCTGTTAGCTGGCCTACCCACCCAGTACCCTCACTGCTTCTTCCTCTTCTGACAGGCACCAGCCCAGCTCCTGAGAGCACTGCACAGCGAGGCCCCGGGTATGAGGACAAGGCCGTGTCACACCTGGTGAGGAAGCGTGTTAACAGCTAAAGAGGGACACACCGTCAGGATCCAACTGTTCCTTCGAGTTTCATGGTGCCCTTTGAAAGTTTCATTTTACTCTTTCAAGATATTAGGAACAAAGCATGCGTTACTAGAATTTAATTCTGTGGCCAGGGTTTTGTTCACTTGGATGAGGCCACGCAACGAGCCTGAGTGAGGACAGCCTGGCTCCATCTTGACTGGCACGTGCTGATTGGCTCAGTACACACCAGAGGCCAACCGGAAATGAGGTCATGGATGCACTAGTGCATATAGCTGAAAACAGTGACTGGGACGTATATGTGTGCGTGCGTGCTTGTGTGTGTGTGTGGGGGGGCATGCTGACCGGTGAAGACACAGATAGTCAATGATTGTGATGAGAGCCCACAGAGGAGATGCCGTGAAGGTGGCGTGGCTTTACACTGTTGACACAAACACTCACAGGAGACAGGTGAACTCCCTCCAGGAAGGAGGCCCACTGCGCTCCGGAGACTGGCTGAAGGCTAGCCTGGAGACATCCATCTAGCTTCATGACCCTCCAAGGCTCTTGCTTCTGTTTTTCTCCTTTTGCTGTATGTGTGAAGTTTGCTGGCACTTGTGTGGGGTGAGTGAAGAGTGACCTGCTCCGTGGTTCTCTAAGGCTTTTTCTTACATGTGACTCCCTGTGCGTGTGTTGGTGGCGGGTGTGTGCATGTGTGTGTAATTCTCTTTCTTTCTCGGGTATAAATGTGATTTAGGTTTCAGGATGACTGTGACCTTGGGAAATGAATCAGGAAATGTTCCTTCCTGATTCTATTTTGTGGAATAATTTGAGAAGTGTTGGCTTTAAGCAGTAGCCTGCGGAAGTCTGATAGAATTCTGTGCTAAAACTAACCTAGGCTTTTGTTTTTGTTGTTGTTGGAAGACATTTGATGACTGCATCTAATTTACTAGGAGTTATGGGTCTGTTTAAATTGCTTATGTGATCTTGATTTAACTTTGGCAAGTTGTACATATTGATAAAATTATCCATTTCTTTTAAATTTTCCAGTTTGGTGGAGTAGAGGTTTTTAAAGTACACCCTCATGATTCTCTGGATTTCCTCAGCATCTGCTGTTACATCCCAATTTGCATCTCTAATTTTGTCAATTTGGATATTCTCTCTCTGCCTTTAAATTAATTTGGATAAGGGTTTGTTAATCTTGTTGATTTTTCTCAAAGAACCGACTCTTTGATTCATTGTTCCTTTGTATTGCTTTCTTTGTTTCTGCTTTATTGATTTAGCCCTCAGTTTGATTGTTTCCTGCCACCTACTTCTTTTAGGTGTGCTTGCTTCTTTTATTCTAGAGCTTTCAAGTGTGCTGTTGGTAATAGTGTAAGATCTATCCAAATTTTTATGCAGGCACTGAGTGCTATGAACTTGCATCTTAGAAGCGCCTTCATTGTGTCCTATAAGTTTGGGTATGTTGTGCATTCATTTTCACTAAATTCTAAAACATCTTTAATTGTTTTTCTTCATTTCTGGCTTGACCCATTAGTTATGCAGTAGTGATTTATTGAGCGCCCACAAGTTTGTAAGCTTCCCGTTGTTTTTGTTGCTGCTGATATCCAGCTTTAATGTGTGGTGGTTGGATAGGATGCAGGGGGTTATTTCAGTTTTCATGTATCTGTTGAGACTTGCTTTATGTCCACGTATGTGGTCAGTTTTGGAGAAAGTTCTCTGAGGTGCTGAGAAGAAGGTCTATTCCTTTGTGTTTGGGTGAAATGTTCTGTAATATGTGCAAGGTGCACTTGCTTTACGGTGTCTGTTCACTCCAGCATTTCTCTGTTTGATTTACGTCTGGATGATCTGGCTGTTGGCAAGCGTGGAGTTAAAGTCCCCCACTGTCACTGTGTGAGGGTCAGCATGTGACTTAAGCTGTAACGGCGTTTATTTTACAAACTTGGGTACCCTTGTGTTTGCTGCATGGACGTTAAGCCTGCCAATGTCCTCCAGTGGATTTTTCTTTGAGTATGTAGCGTCCTTCCCCTTCTCTTCTGAATTAGTTTTGGTTTGAAGTCTATTTTGCCAGATATCAAAATGGTCACACTAGCTTGCTTCTTAGGTACATTTGCTTGGAATATCTTTTTCCATCCCTTTACCCTGAGGTGATGTTTATCTTTAATATTACAGTTGAGACTTGCTTTGTGTCCAAGTATGTAGTCAATCTTGAAAAGATGGGTCCTGTTTTTATATTTAATCTGTTAGTTTCTGTCTTTCAGTTGGAAAGCTGAGACCATTGATGTTATGAGTTATCAATAAACAGTGTTTATTGATTCTTGTTATTTTGTTGTGGTGGTGTGGGCTTTTCCTCCTTCTTTTGATTTGGTGGTTTGCCCATTATTTATTCCTGGTATGTATTTTCTTGGGTGTGGCTAACCTCCTCAGGTTGAAGTTTTCCTAGTGTGGAGTTGGATTAGTAGACAGATACTGCTTGGGTTTGGTTTTATCATGGAATATCTTCCTTTCTTCTATGGTGATTGAAAGTTTTGCTAGGTATAGTAAGTAGTTTGGCCTGGCATCTGTGGTCTTAGAGTTTGTAGAACATCTGCCCAGGCCCTTCTGGCTTATAAAAAGTCAGCTGTTATTCCAATAAGACTGCCCTTATTGGTCTTTTCCTCTTGCAGACTTTAATAGTCTTTCTGTCTTCTGTTTCGTGTTTTGATTAATGTGTACCGAGGAGACTGTTTTTGGTTCCAGTCTATTTGGTGTTCTGTATGCTTCTGGTACCTTCATGGACATCTCCTTTTTCAGGTTCTATACCTTAGTGATTAGATTATTATGTGTTGTGTGAAATTTCTCTTCTGCTCTAGTCTATTTGGTGTTCTGTTTGCTTATTGTACCTTGATAGGCATTTTCTTCTTTAGCATAGAGAAATTTTCTTCTGTGATTTTGTTAAAAATATTTTGTGACTTTGACCTGTGTTTCGTTTTTTTTTTTTTTTTTTTTCTCTTGTATTCCTATTTGATCTTTTCATAGTATTCAGAATTTCCTAGATGGTTTGTACCTGGATTTATTTATTGATTTAGATTTGACATTTTCTTTGACTGAGATATCCATGTCTTCTATCTTGTCTTCAATGCCTGAGAGTCTCTCTTCCATCTCTTGCATTTTGTTTGTGAGGCTTGCCTCTGAGTTTCCTGTTTGGGTTCCTAAAATTTTTTTTCTAGTTTTCTCCCAGCTTGGATTTTCTTTATTGATTCTATTTCCACTTTAATGTCTTGAACTGTTTTTCTTATTTTATTCCAGTGTTTGTGTTTTCATAGATCTTTTTAGTGAATTACTTACTTACTTACTTAGTTTGTTTATTTATGAATTTCTAACATTCAGACTGGAGAGATGGCTCAGTGGTTAAGAGCTCTGACTGTTTTTCTCGCGGTCCTGAGTTCAATTCCCTGCAACCACATGGTGGCTCACAACCATCTGTAATGGGGGTTCTGATTTCCACTTCTGATGTGCATAAAGACAGAGCACTCGTATATGTAAACTTCATGAATAAATATATTTAAAAAGAATTCCTAACATCCATTAAGGCTATTCTGAAGTCTTTGTCTTGAGCCTCAGCTCTGTTGCAGTTCTCACGGCCTGCTGTGGTAGGGTTGCGAGGGCTCTGGTGGAGACTCGTCCTGGCTGTTATTGGCGGTGTTTTTACACTGGCATCCAGGCATCTGCCTCTGGGATGATTGTAATTCTAAGTGCTGATAGGTGCTCCTGTCTTTGCGGGGTGGGTGTTCTGTTCCTTGGTTTCTCTTGCCCTCTCTGGTTCCTGGGAGAGTGTGGTAGCTCTGGATTGTCTGGCAAGGGATGCTTTTGCGGTCCTGCCAGCTGTGGCCATGGGCTTCCGGGCAGAAGGGAGCCAACACTTAGGAACAGTGGTGTTGGTCGGCTGGAAGTGGGGAGGGTTGAGGTGGTGGACATGAGGGAGGAAAGTGGGCTGTGTCGGCAGGGCCTGCACAGCCACCTGGGAACAGGCATATGGGAGGGGTCACCACAGCGAGGACTCCGCAACAGCAGGCATGTTTCCTAACGAAAAATGTATTTAGTTCCCTAAGTGTCTCCATCCCTCTGTGTGTGAGAGCATCACAAAAATGACAGTGTGCCTAAATGTTCCCACTAAGTTTTCCAGACCACTGCAACACAACCTGCTCACAGTTACCCCTGGCTCACACGTTTATGAGCGTATAAACGGAACAGCTTGGTAATATCTTAAAATATATTTGAAGGAAACTAGCCATTCAGTTATATTTTAATTCAAGTAATCCTAGTGCTTGGCTGCCTGAGGCAGGAGGATCACAAGTTTGAGGCTAGTATGAGCTCATGGGATATATATTTTGTCTCAAACAACAAAACAACTAAGCAATTCTGTGTGTGTGTGTGTGTGTGTGTGTGTGTGTGTGCACACGCGCGTGTGTGCGCACGTACGTGTGGAGTGGAAGTCTGACAGAACAGATCTTAACAGGTATATGTTTCCGTAAAGCCATGTAGAAGCCCATGCTGCAGTGTGAGACAGCTCCTGCATTCCTCCCTGACTGAGGACCCGGTCTGTGCTGGAGACCCTGCTATCTCTCTCCTCCTCATGCACTACACTCAGTTTCCTTTGTGACAACTTGTGTCACCTTCACGTTTTTACATCCATGTCACTCTGGCGGATCCAGCCCTGTCCGTGCTGGCCTTTGGGGCAGTTCCTGGATTTCCCAGGGTGGTTTTACAGACCAGGCTCAGGAGAGAACAGCAAGCCCAGAGTCCTTTGGTTCTGGAGCATTGCCATCCCACACATGCCAAAAAAACTTTCTCCAATTTTAGGACACGGGGGAGGAATCTGAAACAACAGGAGATGGCGGGAAGGACAGCGCTACAGGAGGTAAGGCGAGCTCACACATTGTGAATGTTACTTCCAGTGATACTTTGTAGATAAAGCTGTGTCTGCCTCCCACAAAACATTCAACATCCTGGGTTAAGACCAGTCAAATAGGACCAAGCCTTGCGTTGCATTGCCTGCTTGGCCCCTCGGTAGCTATTCCCAGTAAGAAGGAAGCCTGTGTTGTGAGCCACTCATCGCTGCTTGGGGTTTCAGCACCTCACATGAAAGCAACAAGGTTCACAAGGAGGGAGCTGAGCTGCCCTCCTCCTCAGCACCACTCCACTGAGAAGGCACAAGTGTCTCACGGACTCTAGGCTGGTCAGCCTCTGGTTCTGTGGTCTCAGGGAGATACTTACCCTTCTAATTTCTCTTTCCCAGAATGGAAATGCTGACTTAAACAATTAACTAGACTGGGTAGGTGCTTGCTTAGCATGCACGAGACCTTGGGTTTAATTGCCCAAGGTCACAGAGAACAGGCCTGGTGGCTAAGACCTCTAACTGTAGCACTCCAGAAGTGAAGGCAAGAGAGTCAGAAACTCAGGGTCAGCCTCAGGTATACAAGTAGCTCACAGTACCACGTGGGACACACGTGTTCCTGTCTAACGCCTTATTGAGATAATACTATACTTATAATCTGAGCATTAAGCTATGTTATCTGTGTCATTTCAGCCCCCCAAAGACAAGGCGACATCCTCATGTGACTCTTCGGTTATAGAAAATCACATCCTTATCTTGTAGGTGGTTTGACAAGGCTGTGGCTTGGTCAAAGTCATATGTCTGAAAGCCAAAGCTTGGCTTTAAACCAAGTGTTCTCAAATCTAAAGCCAGCGTCATTCATGTCACACAGCTGGCACGGAGGAAACAGTCATGGTAGGGAGATTGTCCTGACCAAGGCCATATCTGTCAGTGCTGCTCGAGTCATTTGCTTTTCCTGATGCTGGAGCAAAATCCTCGACAAGGGAGCTGGAGAGATGGCTCAGCGGTTAAGAGCACTGGCTATTCTTTCAGAGGTCCTGAGTTCAATTCCCAGCAACCACATGGTGGCTCACAACCATCCATACCCTCTACTGCCCTCTTCTGGCCTGCAGGTGCACATGCAGATAGAGCACTCATACATAAGATAAAAGCTTTAAAAAAAACTGAAAAACAATCCCTGACAAAAGCAGCTCACAAGAGGGAAGGTTCACACCTCAGGGATGCTGCCCATCCTGACAGGTCAGGCGGGGCAGCAGGCACACCGGGCAGCTGGTCCCCGTGCACCCAGTGAGGAAGCAGCAGGGTGAATGCTGGCCCTCATCCACTTTGTGTTCTAATCTGGGACCCCAGGCCAGGATGGTGCCATCCACATTTAGACCCAACCTAGAAGCCCCTCACAGAGGAGCCTGCGTTTTGTTTCCGTGATGATCCCAAATCCCACCAAGTTGACAAACTGTTCTCATTAGCATTGTTGCTCTAATTGCTGTGCACAGCGCTGTTCCGGAAGGCTTGATCCTTGATCCTTGATCCGGAAGGCAGGAGTGTGCACTGACATGTGGGCCTCGGAGGTGCTGAGGGGGCATCAGGGTCCTCTGACTCTGAGCCGTCTTTGGTTTTCACGCACCATTGGTGTGCTGAGATACAAGTCTGTGTGCTCCCAATGGTTTATCGAAGTCTCTCGCTATGCAGACAAGTTCCTTAGCTGCCTGTCAGCTCAGGCACAACTAAATGGCGGACAGCAGCAGTGGAGGGAAAGGGCTTTTAGATATTAACTGGGTTAATCACATGCTTTTCTTTCCACAGAAACTGGGCTTTCCACAGCTCCCAAAGCGGCTGTGAGGCTAGCTACCTTACAGCAGAATGAGAAGTAAGCCCCCACCCCCAACCCCCTGCAGCCTATGCCTAAGTCTTCCTTGTTCTGTTGGGCTGGATGTGAGTAAGTCCTTTCTCTCCCTCTGCAGCACTCCAGCTAATGAGAAGGAGGTGGAGGTGAGTCTAAGGCAAAGCTGGCCTTCCTTCTCCCGTGCTCCCTCCTTCCTCCTCCCCTTCTCCTCTTCCCCTCCCCTTCTCCTCCTGTGCTCCCTCCTTCCTCTTCCCATTCTTTCCTCCCCTCCTCCTTTCTCCTCCCATGCTCCCTCCTTCTGTTTCCCCTCCCCTTCTCCTCTTCCTCCTCTCCTTCTCCTCCCATGCTCCCTCCTTCCTCCTTCCCTTCTCCTCCTGTGCTTCCTCCTTCCTCCTCCCCTTCTCCTCCCTCCCCTCTCCTTCTCCTCTTCCCCCTTTCCTTCTCCTCTTTCTCCTCCTGTGCTTCCTCCTCTCTCCTTCCCCTCCCCTTCTCCACCTCCTTCTCCCCTTTCCTTCTCCCTTCCCCCGTTCTTTCTTCCCCTTCTTCCCCTCTTCCCTCCCCTCTCACTCCCCCTCTACCATCTTTCCTCCTCTCTCCCTGTTTCTAGCGCTCCCCCACCTCTATCCCCCTATCCCCTTCCCTCCCACCCCCTCGCCACATGTCAGAGGCCCCATCCATGGCTCCAAACAGTCCAGTTGCAAGATTAAGTTCAGGCAAAGCCCTGGGTTCTGGCCCAGGATCCTAGGGGAGAAGGAAGTCCCCACTTCAGCCCTGCATGGGTGACTGGAGACATTGGGTCCCTAAAGTCTCTCTCTGTCCTCCTGCTGCGGCCACAGGCAGAATTTCTCAGGTTATCTTTGGGGCTTAAGTGCGACTGGTTCACGCTGGAGAAGAGAGTGAAGCTTGAGGAAAGGTCCAGGGACCTGGCAGAAGAGAACCTGAAGAAGGAAATCACCAACTGCTTAAAGCTCTTAGAGGTGCGTGGACGCTCTGGATTGCTTCTGAGTATTATATTCCTCGTGATGTTATTTTAAATAAATTGTTTTCTTAGCTTACTTTTTTTGAAAGAGTGTCAGTAAACGGAAATAGAACTGATTCTTTAGAATATTGTAATTTTTGCTGAGCTTGTTAATTTGAAAGTTTTGTTCTTTTTTTATGGTATACTGCAGATAGAAATCACACTGTGAACAGAAATATTTCCCTCCTTAGTTTCTATTTAGGATTCTTAAAAAAATTGTGTGTGTGTGTGTGTGTGTGTGTGTGTGTATGTGTGTGTATGTGTATACCTAACTGCATTGGCTACAGAACCAACACCATAGTGTGTTGTATAGAAATGAGGACTCCTTGGCCTGTTCTTGGTCATAGAGGGAGGGCTCATCTTCTGCCTGAACTTCCTCTGAATGATACCCAGCCAACATGATGGCACCTCTTTCAGAGCTCATGGCGCTTGGGATTTGGACAGCCTTAGATATTTTCTCAGTCACATAGACAGTGAGAAGTACCTTTGTCTGCTCTCATCTCTGTTCTTCATCCCTGATGGGATCCCTTGAAAAGGCATCACCAAGGTACAGTTCATGAGTCTGTGAGAGGCATAACAGCATGGGCCCAGCCAGCCTGACCACACCTATTCTTAAGAGAGGAGACTGGTTATTCCTTGTGTTCTGTGGCAAAATACCTGACGAAAGAAATGTAGGGAAGAAAGAATTTATTCCTTCTTTATATCTGACTAAAAGTTTGAGAGCATAGTTTGCCATGGCCAGAAGGCACATGACAAGAACAGCCCAGGCCATTTTGTCAGCTGCAGGAGGCAGGTGGTCACATGGGACCCAGTCAAGGAGCAGAGAAAGGTGAATGCTGGTGCTCAGCTGGTGCCTTAGTCACTGTCCTAGTGCTGTGCTAAGACACCTGAGGCAACTTACAGAAGAGCTTCCTGTGCTTACAGTTTCAGAGAGTGAGTCTATGACACACGTCCTCCAATAAGGCCACACCTTCCAGTCCTTCCCAGATAGTTCCACCAATCAAGGACCAAGGATTCAAATGTAGGAACCAATGGGGTTCATTCTCATTCGAACCACAGCTGGCTTCCTCTCTTTCCTCCCTTTATTCAGTCAGGGACCCTGGCCCGGGATGGAGGCCCCTGCCTCCCGGTGGTCTTCCCTCCTCTCTGGAGGTACTATAACTGACACGCCCAGTGCCGTGTCTCCTGTGTGATTCTAAAACCAGTCTCGAACCAGTTCAAATGACTGTGATTCTCCTCTAAATGCCAGCTTGTCCCCACGTGCCACATTCCACTCATGGTCATTGCCGTGGAGGAAAGCCATGAGTGCACCTGGGGGGAATCCAAAAGGAAGGGACTGAGAAGCGTGTACCTGAGACCCAACACAGATAGGATTATTTTTATTTACTGCTGGGCCTTGGTGGTGCCTTTAGCCTCATCAGATCCAAATGCAGCTTAGTCACATGAGAAGCGCTGTGGGGTCGTTTCAGTGCTTTGCTTTCCACACAGTCACTGACTCCCCTGTGTGAAGAGGACAACCAGGCTCAGGAAATCATCAAGAGACTGGAGAAGAGTATCATGGTTCTCAGCCAGTGCACGGCGCGCGTGGCCAGCCGGGCTGAGATGCTGGGAGCCATCAACCAGGTAACAGGGAATCTAAGGGTCTGCACTCCCACGGAGCGTGGCTTACGTTTCTACAAGATTTCAGAATGCTTCAGTGCACGGCCAGGTGCTGGTTTAAGTCTCTGAACCCAGCACTCTGATACACAGGCATGCGGGTGGGTCCCTGTGGGTCCAAACCCAGCCTAGTTTACACAGAGTTCCAGGCCAGTCAGGGACACATAGTGAGACAGAGAGAGGAAACAAGGTAGAGATGGGTCAGTGATGGCCCCATTGATGGACTCAGGGCAGGAGGCACAGCCCTCCCACGCCAGCATTGTGAGTTTTGAGAGCGTATGCGGAGGGTGAGCTGTGAGCCCTTTTCTCTCCCAAATCACAGTAGACCAGTAGGGTCTTTCTTCTTGAAAACACCCGCAAAGGGATTGGAGGGAGTCACACCTCAGTGCGGATGACAGATGATGATGAGCCAGGAGAGTCCGAGGGCACAGACCTTCATCAGCATCCTGTGTGCTGACTGAGCCTCTGACGCAGCCTGAACAACCTAACTACAGCTTCAAGGGCGTCTGCAGACGCAGCTGCTGACTGGAGTCTCCTTGCTCGCCCCTGTCTACCCACCTGTCTGCTTGCATTTGCGTGAAGTACACAGAGCCACAGAAAAGCAGAATTTCTGACTTCTTAAACACACAGGAGAAAACACTTCCTTCGGAAGACGTTTAATGTGTTGGAGGCTTTAGTCTGACAAGTTGTTATGCATTCTTCCTCATTGCCAACCCCTCACTGGGGGATGCTGATCATCTTTATTTGGATTAAAGTTGTGTAAGCACAAGGCTTTAAAAACCCAAGTGCCTCTGTGAGCTGCCTCGTCCCCTCACCTGCTTAGCTTTGTGTGTATATCTATGTTTCTGAGCCACACGATTAGCAGGCGGCTTTGTGATAATGTTTTCAGTCTTAAGCATGTCCGGTGCTTCTGGCTATGATGATAAATGTGTAATGTGTTTGTGAGTCTCTGCCCCTCAACCCTTCCCCTGTCTCTTACTTTCTCATCATCTTTCTTGACAAGCTTTAAACTTCACAGTCAGAGCTGGTCTTCGCTACCTTGGATGAACCCTCTACTCTCCACCTTCCATATTCAAACCACTGATCTGCCTGCCCTTGTCAGAACAGGAAGCACTGCGCCTGCCCGGTGTGACTAAGCTCTTCGCTCACCACCTCCCTGTGATGCCTGGGAGCCAGTCCCTCCCGAATCAGCTTCACACCTTGTCCTCAAACCACCATTTGTCTTCTCTTGTGTTCTCTGAGAAAACTGAGAAGATCCAGAGGGAGGGAGCTGCCCTAGGTTTGAACCTACCACCGGGCTCTACACATGCTGGCCTCCTTCCAGCAGCTAAAGACGGCCACTCTACTGCCAAAGGCAGCCTCCTGCCTGCAGACAGGACCCCACCTTTACCCGCTTACCCAGCTGAACCCCTTCCGCTCTCTCACTTCTTTCCCGTCTGAGAAGTCATTCCCACTGTCACATTGTTTTTAAGACAGTCAGGAGGCGGTGTAAAGCCACCTCTCCATTGGAAAGGAATTAAATCAAACAGTAGGAACGTGCTGGGGCTGAGTGGCCCCAGCACGTCCCAGCACCTGGGACAGCACCAGTGAGATGGCTCTAAGCTAAAGGCTAGCCTGAGCTGCACAGCAAGGGACACCTTCTTAAAAATCAATGAGCAGCTCTTGCTTTCCTCCCTGACCCAAAGCCTCTGCTTTCTCTGGCCACCATCTTGCTTTTCTGTCACCTGGTTCTAGAACAACTCTCTTGATGGAATGATTCTGAAGGCTAGTCTCTCTCCGCTAGCATTCTCTTAAACCTAGCCGGCCCCAAGCCTCTACAAGCCTGCCCTTACCTCTGCCACACATGTGCACCCATCAAGCCCCCTCCCTGTCCCCCCCCCCCCCCCCCCTCCCCCGCCCCCCGTCTCCCCCCCTCCCCCCCCCCCCCTCCCCCCCCCCCCGGGCATACTTCCAGGGCCAGCGTCATTCTTCGCCTTCCTTAAGCTACCCTAAGCCCTGCTCCTGGAGGCCTCCGGTGCTCACACGCCTCGCCCCTGCCTTTTCCCTCTCTGTTAAAGGCTGCTCCACTCCACCCAGGCTGCTGACCAGCCCCATCCCTCCTCTGGGGACTCCTGGAACTGAAAAGCTGAAGATCCCTTTCTGCTCTGCACTCAAGCCATGTGCTCACAAGACCCACAGTGGTTCCCCTCATCCTCTGCCTTGAGGTCCTTGAGGCCCATACGGGGCTTGACATGTCTTCCCGGATGCCCAATGCACCTAGCATCCTTGAAGCCTCAGACCCTCCACATGCCTCCCCACCCACTGCCTCCCTCCCTTGGTCTGCGTGGTCCAGGCCAGAGCCCAGAAGCAGGGGAGGGCTCTCCACACTCCTGTCACCTTCTGCACCAATGGACAAAGAGTGTCCCATTGCTCTGCCTTCAGACCATCTGCACCTAATCCCTCCAACGTTATTCTTTGATAAGTCGTGTGTTTATGTGTGTGTCTGTGCACACGCATGTGTGTTCTGCAGTACCCGTGTGGAAGAGCTGGCTCTTTCCTCCAGAGTGGATGGATTGTAGGGATGGGACTCAGGCGGTCAGAGTTGCACACAAATGCTCTGACTCGCTGAGCCATCCCGCCAGCCCTAAACGTGTGCTTTAACTGAGCATTAGGGACAGTGTCTCTATCTGAGCAGACGTGGCTCTTGCAGGAAAGCCGAGTGAGCAAAGCAGTGGAAGTGATGATTCAGCATGTAGAGAACTTGAAGAGGATGTACACCAAGGAGCACGCCGAGCTGGAGGAGCTGAAGCAGGCCCTGCTGCAGAACGAGAGGCCTTTCCCATCCCTGCAGGACGAAGGTGACAGGCTCGAGGGGCAGCGATGGGCACAGACGCACACACAGGGGAAACGCACAGAAAAAAGCCCTCAAAAAACTAATGTGAAATGTTTTTCCTTTCAGATGACTGTCAGATCAAAAAACGTTCTTCTTCTCTAAATTCCAAGGTAATTGCTGATTTCATAATTAACAAATGTTGGTGAAATGCTAAAGAAATGTTAAGATAGTATTTGAAGTTGTATGCCTTTTACGGTAAGGCACATGACTGATTTAAATTTATGTGCATGGGTAGTAGATTATGTTTGATTTTTCATTACATGTCCAGGGTTATAAGTTCAGTTGCAATTAGAAAATACAAACAGAACAGATCTTATTATTATTATTAGCCCTTTAACTCCAATTTAAGGAATCTAAAGTATCTGTCCTCTGAAGCAAACACATTATATGACAGCTTGCTTTTAGACTGGCAGTGTTTGTAGTTTGAGAGCACTCTAGACAAACAGAAAATATCTGAACGAGTCTTTTTGTGAATAGCAAATACTAATACCTAATTTCTTTGATACTATATGTTTCACTGTCTATGCTATAAAGTAGAAAAAGGTTTATTTTAGTCAATCTATTTTATTTACTGAGTATTATTTCTCTAGGGCTGTACCCTGGATGACCCCCCCCTCTTTAAACTACATTTTCAGAGCGCTCTAAGGCTATAAGAAAACCTTGAATCTTAACCTGTTCTCCTGGCCAGTCAAGAGTCTGGCAATTGTCTCTTTTTACCCGGCACCAATTACACTGTTTGAGTTAGCTTAGGAGCAGATACCCCATGAAGATTCCTGGAGTAATGGCCTCATCTGGCTAAGCGCTTATCTGTTCTTAATGATCTCCAGGGCATAAGGAAGACTTCCAAATAGTGGCTAAAGTTAATTTTAGGATTTTCCTAAAAAGACTCAGACATGGTTTTCTCAGGATAAGACATAAAATGAATCATATTGCAGAAACTCCACAATAATGCAACACGCAGAGACCAAAACCCAGAAGTTACAGATAGATGGACAGTGATTGCAGCAACCCACTCAGCTTTGCTGGAACTGTGTCAAGCAGCCATGCTGGCTTCCTGACTCTCGCCATTTCCAGCGGATATGGTGTATCTGCTCATATGGTTTATGAGGCACACCATTCTATTTCCTGCTATGTTTGTATTCTATTTCCTGCTATATTTGTATTCTATTTCCTGCCATGTTTGTGTGTCAGTCAGAATGGCCCAGCAGCACAAGGAGAGCCAGCGTAGCAGTCTTTGCCTCAGCCTCTAAACCAAAGCTGGGACCAGGCAGGCAGACAAGGGTCAAGCAGAGTCTCAAGGTCCCTACAGACGTGTCCCTTCCCTGCACCCCTTCCCCAAAGCCCCACAGCCCTGATTCCTCCTTGAGGTCTGACGTCTCTACTTCAGAGCCATGCATCATCCTTAGCAGAAAGTCAAGTCCCCAAGCAAGAGAATAGGTCAAGTCACTCCCCCTGCAAAGTTCTCCCTGAAGGTCTGACATCTGTTTTGATTATTAATATTTAATATTGATTTATCTTTTAGTTAAACAGCAGTGATTGCCAAACCAGCTGTATACCCAAATCACCACCCAGAGACTAGGATTTATTTAGTTAACGTAGAGCACAATGCTGGGCAATAGTTACTACATCCTAAGCCTCCAAACACTCATAGCTTCCTCCCAGGCAGATTTCCCACATTATACTTGCTTTTTAGTCAAGTAGTAGGTCCGGTTCACTTCTCCTGTTGTTTCCAGGTCCTCGCCTCTGTGATCTCTCCCCAGATCTCTCCTCCTACTCCTTCTTCCTCCTCCTCTCCAGACCAGGATGTCCCACCCTATTCTCTACATTGCTCAGCATTGGCTGGTTGTTTTTATTGGCAACACAGAGAACAAATGGTGGCATGTTTACACAAACTCAAGACAGGTGATGCTTAGAGTAAGCATCACAATGCAGTGTCCTGACTGAAACCAGGTAGTGGGGTAGAGAAATCAGCATGTGAATGAACAAGGGTAAATTGTATACATCCCACAAGTACATTACACCAACGTGCAAGGCCTCCACTTTCCTGGTGGAAAGTGAGATAGGGACAGAGCCTAGGTGCCTCCAAATCGATCTAAAAACCAAAAGTCTTAGAGGGTGTTGTATAAGGTGAGCCTAGGGTGGTACGCACGGTCAGGAGGGCTCTCCTGCGTCATACCCAAAGGTGCTCCTCACTGATGCCCCAATTAGGTTCTTAATGCATCCAAGCTGACACTGGAAAAATTAACCATTTTAATTCCTTTACTTAATTTGCTACATTTAATTTTGTTGTTGTTTTTTTAATCCCTGGGTGGTACTTATTTAAGCTATACAATACTATATAATACTCTCCTATGCACATCTCAAGGCCAACAGACACATTCATTTGTTGAAATAGGACAACTCATTTATGATGAAGTCTAAAAATGTTCTTTCCAAGCAGTGCTTGGCCTGAGACGGGAGAATGGCCTGCATATGAAAGAATCAGACCAACCATATAACCTGTATTTTTTTTAGTTATCATAAAAACCTGTATTTTTAAATTATAGGCCCATGTCAAACTAAAGTCTCTCAGTACTTTTCTAGAGGACAGGAGAATGTGACAGCCCCTCCTGACCCTAGCCATCTGCACAGATGGAGATAAGGAAATGAACAAGCAAAGACCTGGTTGCAGAAGAAAACAACACTGTCTAGCAGCGGATCCAGATGGTCCTAATTCCCCTCCCAAATAGCCCCTGGCCTTTTGACTAAAGGCACATAGCCCCCGCTTCTCAGAGAGACCACAGGATGAGCAGATTGCTTTTCCCACCTTTAACAATGGCCTAGTCTGACCACAGGATGTACTAATCCTTTCCCCACCTTTAACATAGCTGAATCTACATGTATCAGGAAAGATCAGATATCCCCCAGATGTCTGGGACAGAATTGACCAGACCCGGTACCCAAAATAGACCCTATATCTGCCCCCATGCTGTCAGACCTGTAACCCCCTCTGTCCCCTTGCTTTTTCCTTTAAAACCCTGAGGCTTTCCTGACTCACTGCTGACTCTCGTCTGAGTGCAGAGACAGCCCCAATGCGTGATGGCTTGAATAAACCTCTTACGATTGCATCAATTAGGACTCCCGAGTTCTCTTCTCCTGAGTTCCCTTCATCTGTCTCCCATAAGTTAGGCTCTTGTTGGGCCTAACACATAGAATGGTGGTTGCCCCAAGCTGAGGGAGACGAGAGTAAGTGCTAGGCCTGGGGCACTGTAGCTCAGCGGACTGGAAGTATGTGTTAAGCAGCTGTGGGGAAGAACTTTGGGAAATGTTACCGCAACGTTTGAGAAGAGAGAAATGTTTACCCCAATTTAGGTAACACATCACAGGAATGTATATCGATGCCTCTTATTTCCCCAGCAGTATGTAATTTTTTCCTGAGTGTTAGTTAAAACAAATCTAGCAAAAGTTCCATGAATTTTAAATGTATTAATTGAAAAGTTTTCAGGAGAGTCTGTAAATGTGGCGAATATGGACTTCCTCTGGAGCTGGGATTTCCTAAGCATAAAAGGAAAGACAACAAAGGAGAGATGAAAAACACAGTTTTTCTTCTATAAAGATATAGGGAAAATAAAAAATGGCCATAAATATAAGCGTTTCTTGGGACAGACACACATGGGGACTCACTAGCAAAGGGTGCAGTGTAAGCCGGAAACAGATGAAGGAAAACCCAGACAAGAAACATCCTTCTTGGTCAGCAAAATTATAAATTCAAGGCTGGTGGAGACGGAGTCTGAGCTGATAAATAGTTCTGAAAGGTGATTTTCCATGTGAGATCCTCCAGTGTCCAGCTGCTGCCTGCCTGCCAGCTGTGCGTGGGGCCAAGCCCCACGGCAGAGGATACTGTTCTCAGAAGTCTCTAATTGCACCTTTCTCTCCTGGCTAGCCATCTTCTCTTCGGAGAGTGACCATTGCCTCTTTACCCAGAAATCTTGGAAATGTAGGGATGGTGAGTACACTCGTAGGTCTACTGCCTAAAAAGAAAACTCATCTCTATGACAAAAACATAATTCCTTCACATAATTCCATCCTGTTTTATGATTTCTCAAACCTCAGAAGGTGCCTGGGATGGAAAATAGTGACAGATTCAGCCGGCGGTCAAGCAGCTGGTAAGTGAGACCTGTCCCACCCTCTGGGACCCCATGGCAAGCTGAGGGGTTGTCTCAAGCACATGAGCATTTCTAATAAGCTTTGAACTGTTCAGAATGTGAGCAGCAGAAACGTGAAAACCCCACTCAGTCATGGCAGTTGTATGGGGAATAAGAGTTCCCTGGACACATTCCCAATTTCTGCATTGACACAAGCAGTGAGGTCCTGACTGCAGGTCCAGCTTTGTCTAACATGTAGCCGTTACCTTTGTGTAGGAGAATTCTGGGCACAAAGCAGAGCGAGCACCGCCCCTCTCTACACCGGTTCATTAGCACCTATTCCTGGGCAGACGCTGATGATGAGAAACGGGAAGCCAAGTAGGTGACCGGTATCTGCTGAGGGGACAGGAGCCGAGGTGGGAAGTGGTGGTGGCTTCAGCTCTGGGAAGAAGAGAGCGTTTGCAGGCCAAGACTCAGCTGTGAACCACTTTATTCCCGTTGTTTGGGAACACAGTGGTTCCTCTGGCCTTCTGTCAACATGTTAAATAATTCCCTGGGATTTCTCAGCCCTCGGTGTGCTATCACCAGAGCCCCAGGACAATCTCCACCACCTTAGAGTGCTAAGCGGGAATGAACATAGAACATACCTGCAAATGTGATGTGCGCCCCTTTGTGACAGACAGGCGTGCTTGTCTGTCTCACGTAACAGAGAGCTGTTTCAGTCTCTGATCGGCAATGCTTTGTCTTGCTGACCAATGGGGACTGCTATGTTTCCCTAGCTGTCCTCAAGCTAACAGCAATCCTCCTGTCTCAGCCTCCTGACTGTCAGGATTACAGGGGTCACCACCATGTCTGTCTTCTGGTTAGCAAATTTAAAAAGTTAAAATATGCTGTGTGCCTCCACAGAGAGGGTAGAGCGCAGATGAGGTAGGCCGTGTCACTGCCTCCCCTCGCCCCACCCTACTCGACTGTCTAATCACTGTTAAGTCGTCTCCCTCGGGTCTCCTCATTTCAGGTGATTTTAAAGTCACCGAGTGCCTTTCTCAGCCCTGAGCACCAGAAAGAGACAGCACAGGCTTCTTGCACGTCCTGGGATGCCATGCACATTATAGGGACAGATCTGTTGTGAGCTCCGAGGGGAACCAAGCTCTTCCTTCAAAGACTTACAAAGTCTTTGTAAACAGAGACCAAGAATTAAGAAACTCATGCCTCTTCCTCCTTACACACCATCCTCTTTGGCAAATGTGGGCATCTTGAGCTATGATTTAAAAATTCATATCCAACAAGGAGCTATGAGTTACAAAGGGGAGTTTGCTTAGGTGCAGGAAGCCCTCTTCAGGTTGTTATTTAAAACACGCTCGGCTTAGCCATTTCCCAAGGCGCTGAATACTAGTTCGCTCCAGCTAGCTGAGCATCCCAGATAATTCCATATGCTCTTAAAACAAAGATATTTAGAGTAATGACACTCAGACTGTATCCCACCTAGACTGATCCAAAACACTGACAAAAACAATCCAGAAGAAGAAGAAAAGCACGTCCGGAATCCTCTGCTCGTAGGAGACAGAGACAGGAGGATGCTCCAAGTTTGGGGTCAGCCAGGGCTAACCATGAGACCCTGACTCAAAACGGAAGTTTCTACTAAAAACAAATGCAACCAAGTGCTTATAGAAGACATTAAAACATGTTACTAAACTTCTACTGGGTATTCATCACCTTAAGAAGTGTGCCATCCACATACTTAAAGTATGTTAAAGAGGTACACACTTATCCAGGAGATTGACTCGGACTGGTTAAGACTGACTTTTGAAACTCTTTGTGCATTCCCTCTTGTGGGTGTTACTGACCAAGAGACTACAGAGAGCTTATTTTATCTTCCTTTTCATTTTAATTCTTATTTATTCACTTTACATCTGGGACAGAGAGGCTGTTTTAAATTCCGGTAGGTTTGGTAACATTCAGAAGGTTGTATTTGTAGGCACTTTGGTTCATAAGTGAACTTGCTGGTGTCTGTCAAGTGCAGCACGTTGTCATTAGTGTCTGAACTTATTTGCAGAGGCAGAGATGCCCCCGAACAGCCAGAAGAAGAGGCAGTGGGGAGGGCCAGGAAGCCCAGCCTTTCTGACAGGAGCATCCACCCATCCTGGGGCAGCAGCACCGTGTAAGCCACCTGCGGGGGGGCGGGGGCGGAGGACCCAGGGGAGCCATGCTTCACAGACCGCTTCACAGAAGGGCACACTGGCCTGATATGGCTGATGAGCCATGTGTGGGTCCGGTCCACTGCTTCTAACCCTGTTCTACACCTGACTCTGGAACCTGACTCTCGACCCAGGCTCTCCCGGCCTCCGGCTTCAGCGGCTGCTTTAAGGACACAGTGGAGGTTCCGGCTTGGGCTCAGTGTGGAGACTAGTGCAGGGACTAGTGCAGCCGTGCGTGAGGCAGATATGTTTTGAACGTCAGCACAGAGGGGCACAGGGCCTGGCGGGAAGTGCATCCACTCTGCTTTGACTGAAAAGATGAGTTGGTCAGGAGTCAGTGCCTACACTTGGGGAGCAGGCTGTGCCCACACCAAGAGGCTCCTCCATCCCGTCCTGACATGGCACTAAGGCAGTGTTGGCGGGGTGCCTCAGCCCCTCGTGTGACCTCCCCTTCTTTGTGTCCCCCACAGCTGCAGCTCAGTGGCCTCCTGGGCAGCTCACCTGCAGGCGTCCTTCCCAAGGGCCAGCAGAGTGCTCTGGCTCTCCATGGTCTTCATCCTGCTGTGTGCAGCGCTGATGAGCCTACTCACAGGCCCGTTCTTCCAGGCAGCCGTGGAGGCTGCACCCTCACAGGAAGGGGACACCTGGGTGTCTCTGGAGCAAGTCTTGTGGCCATTTACTAGACTCAGGCACAACGGGCCTCCACCAGTATGACTGCCCCACAGTTGACTGTCCCTTCTGGTTTTAGCATTTCCCCCTGAGATTTGTAAACTAATAACTTTCTAGTGATTGTGGTGCAAAACTAGGGTGCTCAGAGCAGCTGACATCTTTTCATTCCCCAACCGGAGCACAGGGAGGAAGTGCCACCAGGGAGGGGAGCCACCTGGGCTATTTTAATGAGTTTCCTGAGAGGGAAACACGATTCTTTATTGCAATATATCAAAATAAAGACCATTCAGATCTTTCTGCAGAGAAGCTTGAATAGAGTGCTTTTAGGTCATCTGTAGCTTATCTGATATCTCAGCACTTGGAGAAATACCCAGTTCCTCCCAGACAGAACAGGCTCCTACACAGGCGTGAGGACTAGGAGTAGCTGAGGTCGAGGGGTAGCTGAGGTCGAGGGGTAGCTGAGGATGAGGAATAGCTGAGGATGAGGGAAGCTGAGGTCGAGGGGTAGCTGAGGTCGAGGGGCAGCTGAGGTCGAGGGGTAGCTGAGGCCGAGGGGTAGCTGAGGTCGAGGGGTAGCTAAGGATGAGGGGTAGCTGAGGTCAAGGGGTAGCTGAGGATGAGGGGTAGCTGAGGTCAAGGGGTAGCTGAGGACTAGGAGTAGCTGAGGACGAGGAGTAGCTGAGGACGAGGGGTAGCTGAGGCTGAGGGGTAGCTGAGGCCGAGGGGTAGCTGAGGCTGAGGGGTAGCTGAGGTCGAGGGGTAGCTGAGGACGAGGGGTCGAGGGGCAGCTAAGGACTAGGAGTAGTTGAGGACGCGGATGGACAGCAGCATGTGGCACACAGCGTCAATGAACTGGCAGTCGGAACCGCGAACCCTGTCCATGGCCTCCGGGGAGGCGAAGTCCTTCACCATGTGGTACAGGGTGGAGTGGAACTCCGTCTCCTCTTTCAGGGTGTCCATGAACACGTAGCTGTCCTCCCTGATGCCGAGCACCCACGCTCTCTCGCCGTTGAACATGAGGAGCCGGTCCTCCGCTTCTTCCAGCAGGCCTTCCTTCACCTGGGAAGAGTTTGAATTCTGGGAGTTACGAAACACACCCCAAGGAAGGAGCTGTGGGGGCGCAAATGGCCCAGCTGGGTAGGGCAAGCTGGCTCGGCCTCCCACCATCTGCTGAAAGTGGTGTGTGGCCCCACTTCTGAATTGCTTCATGCCGTGAAACCACACATCGAGGTATTTACGGAGGGTCTGTGTGTGGACCCACAAATGGTAGCCTAGCACTGACTCTGTGCCCAGGTTCTGCTCTGAGGGCACAGTGGGGTCCTCGCTGAGCCTTGGGGTGGAATCCTGGCTTCCCGCCCAGCTCAGAGAAAAAGGCAGTCAGCTTAGAGGTTGAAAAAGGTGTCAGAAGTCCCGTGGAAGGCCTGGCCTCTACAGAGGACTCACTCTCACTCTCTATCACACACACACACACACACACACACACACACACACACACACACACACACA